CAGGGGGGCGTCTTTCTCAGTATCTCGTATGAGCACCACGAGCTGCAATCACTGCACGGCATCTCCTTGGACAAGAACGGATAAGACGCCGGATTCTTTCCTGGGGAATGGCTCTCCACCCTCCTGCAGTGCAACGCCGAGCTGTTGCAGCGTCTGTGGCGGCGGCTGACGTTGACGTACGCGTCGACCCAGAGTATCCACAGGTGTTCAATAGGGTTGAGGTCTGGTGATTTAGAGGGCTATGGCAAGACATTGACGTTGGAATTCTGCAGAAAGTTCATTGTTGCACGTGCAGTATGAGGCCGGGCGTTGTCTGGTTGAAAAATCTGTGTCTGTTGGTCAATAATCGGGAGAAGGTGAGGCTGTAATACGTGGTTGATGTAACGTTGGGCTGTCAGGTTCCCTTCAACGATCACTAAGTCTGATTTCTGGTTGTATGAGATGGATCCCCAAACCATAACGCTTTCTCCGCCAAATCTGTCCCCTGTCGGACGCAGATGGGCGCAAAACGTTCATGACGTCTCCTATACACACGTTTTCTTCCGTCGTGATGTTGCAAAGAAAACGGGATTCATCAGAAAACCAGATGCGCCTCCAGTTTTGTAAAGTCCATATCCTTACGTTGTTGCACCACCTGAGTCGTCGGCGGAGATGTAGGGGGGCGTAGTACAGGTCCAACAACTGGTCTACAGGCACGTAAACCCGCTTCTTTCAGACGGTTCCTAATCGTTTGAGCTGACACTCTCCTCAAACCTGGTATTTGTGTGGCAGTCACGGTTGGTAGGGCATGCCGATTACGCAGGTGATGGACCCGGATGTACCGATCTTGAAGGGGTCGTGATTCTTGGCCTTCCACTTCTCGGGCGATCGTTGGTCAAATTGAAGTTGTTGTAGCGGCTCCAAAGTCGGGATATCGTTGTTTTGTGAACATTTAGGTGCCGTGCAACAGTTCCAAAACTTTCTCCGGCTTGAACACGACCAATGGCGATATTTCGGTCGGCAGCACTCAATCGTGGCATTTTTCACACAGCTTTTCATGCGACAAATGAATGAATATAATACGAAAGCACATGGGCTTTTATACACCCCTACATTAACTGCCATTTTCATGATTTGCATGTGTTTTTTTTGTGCGAAGTCACCATGAGGGTCATTTCATGCGTTGTGACGGAATAAGCAATAAAATACACTTATGCGTACAAATGCAGTTGTTTGGATGGTAATCTTCATTAATTACGTGTATAATTTCAATACATTCGAATAACATTTAGTTTGGAAGCAATAACTTCATTCAAACGAATTTTTCATATCTGAGGACAGGGGTTGCGTTTCTTTTTTGACAGAGTTTACTACATATTGTTAAATTTCTTCCTGGATACCATATTTAGCTGATAATTCCAACATATGAAATATAGGAGATTTCATATCTCGTTTATGCTTTCTGCCAATCATAAGTTCATTGTCATATTGTAAGATTCTATGTAAAAACAGCTGTTTGAAAGAAAACTTAATACTGCTGTTACATAATCTGCCAAGTAGCAACAGAGAACGTTGATCTATATAAGCTTGTAATGATAAAATACCAAGGTTATCCACAACAACTTCATTAGGCATATGCCTATCAAAACCCTGTATTCTTTTAGAGAAATAACGTTGTGTGGTTTCCAACATATCATATTCTTTATGAGACAGCTTCCCCATACACTGCATCCATATAGGCAGCATGGCAGTATAACTCTATCCCATATACGAATTGCAGCAATAGGATTTAATCCTCCAAAATGCAACCCTGAGTCATGATTAATATTAATAAATGCAGGTGTTTCATTTACTGCAAATCAGAATGTTTTCAAATATGTACAACAAAACGTTTTCTCAGTTAACTTCTGTTGTACATATGCTATTATTGGGAGGGGGCTTTTCTATCAATAAACACAATCCAACCCCTCAGTGACAAACCTGTTTTTATATTCGATAGTAATTGATAGTAAAAACAATTCGAGAAGAAAAACCATTTATCATTTAAAAACACCAAATTGCACACAATCAAACGTCTCAGTAACGAACCTGTTTCAGGCTCACCCTGCTCTACTCACTAGACAGTGGACTGTTCCATTATACCCGTAGGTGTTACCCTAATTAACCTTCTAGTTCAGTGTCTGTCAATTGGGTGTCTGTCAAATGGGTGTCTGTCAAATGGGAGATAACCGTCCTAACCCGGATCGTCATGGGTTTAAGAATATGAAGTGCGTTGATGAGTGGCTGTGTTTGTGCATTCGGTATTCAACTCCACAAAATGAGTTTCACACTTTGTGTCTATGTTGGAATGAAACTGAACCTCTGGTGTGGTGAGCTAACGTTTCAACTACCAGGCTCATCCATAGTTTCCTTAAAAGCACATGGTTTTATGTCACAATTTCCTGGCAATAAATGAGTTTGAATGATCCTAGGTGATCACAGTTCCTCCTTTTCTTCGTCGGTCCTTTATTATAACGCGGTAGACTTTTTCCAATGTTTGGTGTACTTCGCTTTGCCTGCGACTATCATGTGGAGGTTCTCCCAAGTCCAATAAATGGCTGCAATATTGCATTGGGGACAAGGATTTCTTCACTGTATAAATCTGAACTGACTGGTGGTTGACAGGTGTACTTGTCATGCACATCCTGGAAATGCAAATCTGTCGACCATGCAAAGTACGATAACAAGATCATCCGTCAAACATATGCTCTTATACATGAACACACATGGATTTATTATTATCCTACCTACTACCTATACATGCAATATGGCATCGCATCTCACATGACTTCGGATATGAGCACAGGAAGATGTCATCGTCTCTGATTGGGCGGGATTTAATCGTCTTTCATGTATCTGTCTTTAACATGACAACTCCGTCTATTTTCACCAGCAGAAATGTCCATACTTCTTCTGTAGCCTCCACTTTGCTTACGATATTCTACTTGTTAAATATACCACCAGCACTGTAACCTACTATGAAAACCTTTATAGTTCTATAGCGAGAACCTATCCATCCGTATGCCTGTAAATGTCCTGTTACCTTCTGTGATGACAATGGGTCGGGAGGTGTGTTATTTCAACTGAGATCTGAATACATACAGTACACTCATGAATAATAACATGCTGCGTATTAATGGAATACTAATTTATATACACAAATATACAGCTGATGGAAGAACGTTGAACCCATCTATATGATAAACACAATATTAATGAATAACAATAAGTCTATACCGCTATTGACTTCCAACGTGGACAGCTGCTCGGGGACGTTGTTACTCATCCTTAACCCTGTCTCTCTATCACAGGGAACATATATAATCATTGTTTTCCCAACGTGTTTTCCCGCTGTGTTACTGCTCTGATATTTACAGAAAAGATTTATACAAAATACATGAATACTGATGGTTTGTATATAGACAGGATACAAATAAATTCTTTGGCAATATTGGTGTGATAAATATGCTACGGATAACTGCAGCGAAAAATATATCTGTACTGTATGACTTTGAGTGAAAGTGTCATCACGCATTGAAGTTATTAAAGATGCTATCTCTGAAATAAGCATGCCTTCGACTATGGCAGCCTTCGCAGTTTGTTTATGACACGCTTAAATCAGACAAAGAAAAACATTTTGGTTTGTTTTTATAACATAATTTATCCATGATCTTAACAAACATTTTGCAGCAACTATTAGACTACAATTCGTGTCGTAATTGCCGTCACATAATTGTTATATCATTCAGCTGATATCAATCTCTGAATATAAATTTGAGGAACCGGTTCAAATTTGAATGGGTTTTCATCACGCCTACCTGATTTTCATTTCAATCTTCTGAACAACAACTGGAGAGATCATGAAGAGCCATTGTCATTCACAAGATGATTATTTTGTACTGCATATAATTATATATAGCACACAATACCGAACGCAAAACACTCTGGGGTACGCTTTGAACTTAACCTATCCTATAATGAAATATATAATCACACGAGTTTTGTTTAGTCAAATTATGTCGTCCAGGCATATGTACACTGTCACACAGAGGAATGAAGAAAGTGTATCTGCACATATCTATAGTATCTATGTGAATATATGTTAGCAATTGTAACGCCATCAGTTTCAAATGGAAAAATAGAACAAGAATAAAAATAAAACTAACAAATATAAAAACAACCTTCTATCCGGATCCTTGTAAGCCTTATAGATGAAACATCCTGGTTATACAGACATATTAATGTTCTAACAGGACAGTTTTCAGATGCAACTAAAAGAAGTTTATTAAACGGAAAAGTACAATTGAGTACAACCCTGAATATATAGAGGGCGTTTTTGAAACTGGTTATTACTTTTTTTCATTTAAGTTGGAAATAGTCCTGTATACAACCTTAAACGTATGCAGACCAACATACCTGACCATGCCCTTCGTGTTGAATCTAACGAAGCATCTATGTCAGTGAGTGCTCAAATGAGATTAACATTATTCTGGAAAAAAAACGTGGGAACCATCCGAATCTCGTTTACGGAATGTCATCTTTGCATCCCAAGTACAGAGCTGTCCTATTATAGTTCCCGATATCTTAGGTTCAGTACCTCACAGTCTGTAAAATAACACTGGGAGAGTACCCGGGTTTGATTCTGGGAACACAGCACTTCGAAACCCTGGCAACAGTGTTCTCCAGTCTCTACAAATATTCTTCGCGTAGTCGGGCAGGATTTCCTTGACCATTCTCTAAATAGGCTGCGTGCAAAGGGCCCCGAGCTGATGATGAGATTATCTAACGTGAATGTGCCAGAATCTCCCGAACTCGCTTTTCAACGTTTATTTCTACTAATGTGTTACTATCAGTACATGACGGGTGATGTGAGCCTCTCTGTGATGGGCCTGGCAGGAACGGTTGATTCCCCCTGAGCCAAGGACATCAACCATAAAAACGTGTCATTTATTCATGCTCGTCCAAATTCATAATGCCTTTCAAGAACATCACTCATTAAGTGCTTACCCTCCGAAGTATATTCCAACTTCGTTTGAGAATGCCAAGAAACGGACCTCTAACAAACTCCGCAGCCCATTCTGCCTCCCTCCTGTATATTAGCAAAGCAAAATTCAAAATTGAATTTGCCAAAATGGGAGGCAAAATCCTCTCAAATAATCGTGGACGCACAAGCTCATATCACACTGACGAAATGTGTCAGTATTGCTAAGTCCATGAATAAATAGCAAATTATTGACACAGCATTGCGACAAAGACATGTCAGTATTGATGGTAGACATGCGGAGGTCACTTCTATAATTCAGTGCAAATGATGTCCGATTAAATTCCACATTTTGACATTCCAGGTGGACAACTGACTCGTAGTCTTCAGTTTGTATTTCATTATAATGGGGTTTGATACGTTTACGTTTTTGCGAACACCTGGTATCACCACTATTTGATAGAGATTTATAAGCATTTAGTGGGAATTGTTCTATCGACTCTGCTTTCAGCAGATATAGTTTATGGTTGTGAAAAGGGGTATTTCGCTACCATCTGGGTATGACATCAGATATTGGAGTAAATTATGTCTTCATAAAATGGGGCAGTTGGTTTTAGCACATGTATAGTTTGACAGTAAAGCCCAGTTGCCATATTAGTATGTCGTCACTTTGTCCTTTACTATACAATGTATCAATCAGTCCATTCAAGATCTTTTCATCCCTAAAACCCTGTCTATAAAGATATTTTTCAGACAGAAGTTGTCACTGTTGTGTCAATCAACCTGCACTCGTGTGAAAAACAGATACAGTAGGTAGGTAATTCCCTGACATCCCTGTTCGTGTCTGTCCTCATGTACAAAGTGACATTTTCGAATAGATCGTTACTTCTGTGTAGTGGACATACAACATGAATGGTTCAGAGTTGTTTCAAAAAGATGCAGCATGAATGTTCCCTCATCAAATATCAGAGCAATGAACACAGACACATTATTGTTAATGCAATATACTTTTGACGGAACTGACAAACATCTTCCCTACACACGAGAAGAATACGACAACCCTTTCTTCGTTTGCAAAAGTGCATGTTTTCTATGAAAACCCTCTGTCAAATGTGTGTCAGTTCCTCATTCACCAACTGTTACTCTTACTAATCCATTAACTTTTACCGCTCTTCCGGAAGCTGTAACAATCATCTACTTTTGGTCACTGGAACATCCATCTCATCTCATGAATGTCATCTGTACTGGTCGCATTGCCAGAGCGTTGGTAGTTTTCTAGACACGGCATCATCACTGAGGATTCTTCTTCATCTTCAGTTTGCATTGTCGATCAAATTTTTCACTCTGTGCCACTGTGAACCAGTTCTTCCAGTCGCCAGTTTGACCTGTAACAGGACATTGTAATAAGGTATGATCCTTGTACAGCAGAATTTGATATGTAAGAAGTGCCGTTGTTTTCTAACCCTGTGTGCCTAAATGTTATATTTGAACAACAAAAAGTGCGCATTAAACAAACCGTGTACCATGACATCGATGTATTTTTCACAATTGAGGGTAGTTGTTAGTGCAATAGAATTTCAGTAACAATTGCATCATCATCATCAACATCATCATCGTTTCATCATCATCTCGTATTTAATCATTCATTCGCTCTTTTGACCACGTCTATCATCTCTAGCTGGACCTATGATATTTAAATGAAGCAGCGTTACTTTTGTGTTAATATAGCACCACTTTAAGCTGGTGGATAAGTGGCAAAATGCGGAATAAAACTTACTCAAAGGAGAAAAACGTAGATATGCTTGTAGACTGATCCATTAAGTGCCAAGACTTGTACCATTACCATGATCTTAGGTGTCAATAGATAGAAGAGACAAACCCTTTCCACATTCCTAAGAAATCTCTGTCAAATGCAGTCCAGTGTACTATTGTGACTATATCATGAACAGATATTTGTTTCAGCAGTATTACAGCTGAATTATGCTTTTTGTAAAATCATCGGGTGTGAACCAGACAATCTAGTGATTGTCACCATGCTATGACTTTAGCATGTCAGCATGTATTTATGAATCACTATGAAATAGCGATGATACCAGGTGGTTGCAAAAAGTCATAAACACATGTCATAAACACATGCTAGTCAACTGTTCACCTGAAATCAGGGTAACGTGTTAAGGCAATTTTGCAATCTCATACTGTACAAATGATTGCTGTATTCTTCGGTTACTGAACCTCTCCCTAAACTAGAAACATCAAACTTTAAAACGCAGCCACCATTATGTTGACTATTTTTACGTTGTAGTTGTTGTTATTTGTAATTCTCACCCTTTCTGAAATATCCACTTGATCCCTCTTGCCAGGAATTGTGATAGGTCTGATCTTTGTTATTCTCACAGGCATTTTTGAGATTCTTAAAAGGAGCAGGCATCCGCTATCTCCTGGTACGTTGCTTCAGAAAGGGGGCGATCGAGATATTCAGCCATTCTTCTTATTTGCGCCACACAATCCTTAAATAGAGTGCACGGTTGCAGTAATACCTGACAGTGAACAATGTCAGTATAATATTTCATAAAACATATCTAAACATAAATATCGATAATCTGAGACATGTCATATATACCTATAATATTCTCATCTTGATATTTGCTGGCAGAAACCATGGACGCCCATTTAGTGAACACTAAAATAAAGTCTTGGCTTCCCAACTGCCAAGTCTCCTTTCAACTGCTTAGAACTTGGATGCCATAGCCTATCATGCATTATAGACACAGCACTGTACTGCTTTCAATATAATATAGTCAATACAGGACACACTGTACTGCTCTCAACATAATAGGCACAGTTGCATTATAGGCACTGCTCTCAATTTGCTCTCAATGCAATACAGTCACTGTACTGCTCTCACATTATTATAGGCACAACACTGTACTGCTCTCAATATAATATAGTCACACGTTACATTGTACTGCTCTCATATAATATAGTCACACATTATAGGCACAACACTCAACAACGGACTGCAAACAACGGATGCAAAGATACAAGGAAATCTCGGCGTCACATTATGAACACTGTCTATGTAATGTGTCTACACATTTACAAATTTGAATTGTGTTGTCTTCTGAAGACATGTCTCGCTTCTGTAATATTTTACCTCTATCATGTCTTCGTACTGCATGTTGCACACTTCAAATCCTTTATGCACATCAGAAACGTTTTCCCACTCATTAACATGGTCAAATATCGAACCAAAAGGAACTGAAAAAACAGAAAACAAGTCTAAGCATTGACAAAGACATGTACAGTGAGAGCATGTGATACGATAAAATGTTGCATGTGGTTCTGCGACGTTTGATTCGCTGACAAAGCAGGGTTGGTAAACTATGCAATTCATTTCATATCATTGTCTACAGCTGTGTATTTAACGATGATTCAGCATAGTCTATGGCGTTTTGTAACTTTCATTAAAATGTATCAGTTGCGTTTATGGAGATTTAACATTAGAACAATGGATTTAACAGAACAATGGATTTCAATAACTTCACGGGGGTTCCTCTTTTTGCGGTTGATCCTTCCGGGTTAGAAAGAGTAACCTCCAATGACGCCGTTCGACCAATATTCCAGCAATATCACGGCGGGGGACACCAGAAATGGGGTGAGCATGAACCTTCTGTAAACCATGCTTGTCGTATGAGGCGACTAACGGGATCGGGTAGTCAGGCTCGCTGGCTTGGTTGACACATGTCATCGGTTCCCAATTGCGTGATGCTCATGTTGATCACTGGATTGTCTGGTCCAGACTCGATTATTTACAGACAACCGCCATATAGCTTGAATATTGCTGAGTGCGGCGTAGAAGTAAGCTCACTCACCCACTCTTGTTTGAAGTACGTTTATACCGTGAACCGTTTTAATAATTAATTTGTGGGAAATATGAAAAGAAAACATATACCTATTTGTCTGTTGAGGAATAGACAGTTTCTTACCACGTGGGAATGATGACAGACTAAGTGGTATCTAATCTTCCAAGTGGTACTTGGTTTTTACTTGCATTCTCTTTAGCAGCATTTAGCTATTGACACCAAAGTCATAAGCATATACAAAACAAAAACACAGCTATTCTCATCCCCAGTTGTGACAAGCGTGATTATTACTGACGCAGAGCATATATCACGTTTTATATAGGATTCTAAGATGCTTCGGTGAAACATCAAAGGCGCCGACAGTACTTTATCAGACGATAATGTGCACTTTTTGCATTACGTCACAATGTATTGGCGTCACTGCGCCATTCTAGTCTGCCCCCTCGTAATCGAACCATTTTGCATTACGTCACAATGTAAGCGACGTCACGATGCATGTCAGTTGTCATCGCCTCGTACGGCCTCCTACAGTAAACTACTCCGTTGCATCCCGTTTCTTGGTTTGCAGTTGCTTCACGCAGCTAACATCACTGGTGGAAACATTACGTTTATGTTTTACGACGGTTAAAATGTCTCAATTCGACTCACAAGTTTTCAGCGACACGGTAACGTTCGCAATGTTTACATTCCCACAATGCAATCGTGGAATGTCGCTTGACTACTCAGCTTCATCTGGATGTACTGATCTAAACTTACGTTGGTAGTAGAAATGCGACGTTCATATTGCCCCACATGGTTTACGTTAATCACAGATGTAATTAAAATAATTTAGAGAAGATATTTAATCCGAACGTAAACCGTCATCAAACTAGTATCATTTGGGATTTTTTCTGGTAACGTTCGTCTTAACGTAGGATTACAGACACATCAATAGAACAGTGCGCCAGTTAGCCCTTTACGAGGATTCTTAATTTAGGTCACCGACCCCTTCGTTTGTTTTCTGCCTTAAATTAATCGTAATTATCCTTAGAAAGTATAAAATTTGGCATCTTAGAAAAGAAATACAGTTCGCTCTACCACCATGTATAGCCTCCTCGTACTTTTAACGTTATAATAGTTCAGGGCGAAAGTGTGTTTTATTACACTACACACGGTGGTAGAGCGAACTGTATTTCTTAAATCACGAGATCTGAACCATTCAACTGAATGCGAAGATGAAGATGTTCGTACCACTACCGTCTATGAAGAACCTGAGGAACTCGTCCCAAGAGCCAGTGAAGGTCACCCGCTGTGAGGGATTGCCCTTACGTACTTGTTGGCTCAACTGACAAAAGTATGACACTGCGCAGTCTTTCGGATTCCTCTGGACATACACCACCTTGCATCTGCGTTCCCATAGCAACTCTGGCATTTGTCTGTAAATATGGCAAGCGAGTATCGTAATTCATAACTGACGTTTTAAGCATAACGTTTCAAGTTGAGTACAACTATTAGAATATGTAACATTTGCTTTGCATGTGTTTGAAACAAGTCTTTGTTTCTTTTCTTCGTTGTTTAACGCCACAATCAGCAATATTCCAGCTGTAAGACGGCGGTCATTAAAGAATCGAATATGGACCAGACAATCCAGTGATCAACAGCATGAGCATCGATAAACGCATTTGGGATAAGCTCGCACTTGTCAAACATGTCAGCGAGTCTGCCACTCGATACCGTGTCTTGCCTCCTATCACAAGCATGAGGTAGTATTTATGTATGTATGAATGTGTGCGCGCGTGCGTGCGTGCGTGTGTGCGTGTAAACCAACCCACTCACGAACACACCTCATATTCCGAACATGAACGTCGGTAGCTGGTAGTAAAACTGAACCTCTGGTGTGGTGAGCTAACTCATTAATTACTATACTCATCCATGCATCCCGTTATTGTTGTAAATACAAATTATTTTACGTTACCCTGGCAATAAATGAGTTTGAATGATCCTAGGTGATGATAGTTCCTCCATTTCTTCGTCGGTCCTTTGTTCCAATGAAGTAGAATTTTTCCAGTGTTTAGTGTAGCCCGCTTTGCCTGCCACGATCATGTGGAGGATCTCCCAAGTCCAATGAGTGCCTGCAATATTGCATTGGGGACAAGTAGTTCTATACCATGTACACCTGAACATACAGGTGTATTGCCATGCTAAACTACATGTAGAGATCCTGAGAGAGTGCAGGCGTGGATACACCATATTTATCAGATCATAGCATAGAGAGATGTAGAAAGGTAATGCTGACACACAACCACTACACAGAGAGAGAGAGAGAGAGAGAGAGAGACAGAGAGACAGACAGACGGACAGACATCTCAAAATAAAAGACACGTAAGCGGTGTAGATAATATATATAAGATACTTAGGCTCATCATCCATGTTGAAAGTAGTCGATTCGACTCTTTGTCTCTGTAACTCACACTGATGATATACGTGTGTCGCAAGTTTGGTTATCGGATATATGTCATCCCACCTGCTACTGATACATGGAACACATCATCACATCTCACCTGACTTGGGATATGAGCACAGGAAGATGTCATCTTCTCTGATTGGGCGGGATTTAATCGTCTTGAGGTTCTCAGTCAACGTCTTCAGCTCGACAACACCGTCTATCTTTACCAGCGGAAATGTCCACCCAGCCTGCATACAGACTTCTGTCGCCATTTGCCTTACGATAGTCTGCCAAATACTCCACCACCCTTGTAACCTACTGTGAAGACTTTATACAGCCCTACCGCTAGACCCTTCCCGTCCATAGTCATGTATGCCCTGTTACGTTCAGTGATGACAACGGAGCGTGACTTGTGTGATTGCTACTGGGATCCGAATGCACACAATACATTCATGAATAATGATATGATCCTTATAAATGTAAAGCAATTATACTGATAATTATAACCGCCGCCATGCATCTGGAATATTGCTGACGGTTTCGTTAAACAGGAGTTGATGTAGCCACACGTACGTTGTGAAAATGTATGTGATATATACACAATTTGTTAATGAATAACAATACATTTATACAGCGATGGACTCCTAATGTAGACAGCTGCTCGTGCAGCTACACAACCCTGTCTCTCTATCATCAGGAATATAATCATTGGTTAGCTAATTTACAATGGTAATTTCACGTTACCTGTGCCCATATCACCCAGAATATACACAACATAAATGAATACTGAAAATTTCGTGAGAAATTTTGCATGCGCAAAACAAATGCACGTAAGTGTAGATAAATCTGTACATACCATTCAATTTCATGTCATTGTTGCACCGATGATGAAAGTAACAAGAAATAGAACGTATTAACGTTCATTGCAAATAATAATAAGAAAGTTCATACGTAGTTTGGTCGCTGGTGCGGCAAATGTTGAAATGTCCTCCACATGTCCAACATGAAACCAGAAGAATTCCTTACCAACGCCTAGACTGAGGAAGCCTTGATCAAGGAATTGTTGGGCGGGAGAAGAGGACATTCTTTGAAATATTCGATGAAACAAATGCTTGATTCCACCTTGACCGGATGGATAGGATCACCACAGTCTCAAGGATCTCTTTGACACACGTCTTTCATTGCTCCATATTATGTCTTCCAAAAATGTACATACACACATCTGATATCTTTCATCACATATTTGTTCTCTGACACCTGGCTTTCTTTGTTTATGTGTTGCTGGAGTTCAAGCTTCAAACATACATTTGTTTACGACACGAGTGCTTAAATGTTGGTAAATGCGAGAGCGAGGGAAATACCGATATTTAGGCACGAGTGTCGTAAACATAGTATGATAATGGCACGAATATGATATTCAGTTTATTACCGAAATCGTCAAAACAAGAAAAATAAGCCAAACTCCACTCAAACATATGCTGGCTACCCGCCGTTGCCGCATGTAGAACGCAACGTCACAGAAGAAACGTGACGTCATCATGATAAAGTGATATTTTGCTCTGGGCATGGTATAAAAATATGACCCCCGATATGTTAGCCCTCGTAGGTTATAAGTTTCGTTATGATTTCGTAAGTTTGTAAAACGTAAAAAGTACAATTGCATACAATCCAGAATACGTAGAGGGCGTCCTGATGGAAACTGATCACTATTTTTTGCAATGTTTGGAATTTGCCTCTTTGATGTCTTACACGTAATCAAACCACCATACGTGACCTTGTCCTGTTTCAAAACAACAATAAAACCATTGAAGTCAGGGAATTCTCTTTCCCTTTTGACACAACTGAGATTGACATGATTCAGGATAAACGTGGCAAACACGGTACAATCAACTATGTTCTTTATAACAGGATGTGAGGGTTTGTCAATCAATTCTTCCACAGAAGTTGATCGATCGTGTTTGTAATACTCAGGTTTCAGTGATGCTTTTTATTTACCAGTGATTAATAAATACATGCTCGTGATTTAGTCGGAATTGTACTGTTGACATATGTTTTATGGGTTTAACAGGGGTTTGTCGCCGCCATCTGGGTATGACATCAAACATAATGGGTATATTATGTTGACATATGTTCAGTGGTCTGCCTTTTTTGCAACATGTAGGTAGTTTGACAGTGAATCCTCAGCTTTATCAGGCTTATTATGTATAGAGGACATTGACTGTTGAGGGATTATGCTGTTTTCATCATCTCCAACTCGTATTTCCGATTAAATTCTTCACTCTGTGCCACTGTAAACCAGTTCTTCCAGTCTCCAGTTTGACCTGTAAGATGTCATTGTAATAATGTCGGAAAATTGTTTCTACGATTTAATTTGATTTGTAGGAATGGCCGCTGTATAATGACCCCGTACAGTGGTGAGTGGTATATGGTGGGTGAGTGTGTGAGTTTAGTTTTACGCCGCACTCAGCAATATTCTAACTATATGGCGACGGTATGTGAATAATCAAGTCTGGACCATTCAATCCAGTGGTCAGCAACATAAGCATCGATCTGCGCAACTGGGAACCGATGACATATGCCAACCAGCGAGCCTGACCACCCGATCCCGTTAGTCGTCTCTTACGACAAGCATGGTTTGGTGAAGATTAATTTTAACCCGGATCTTCCCTGGTCAGTTATATATGACAATAATAGGAACGGATTAAACAAACCGTGTACCATGACAAAGATGCACATTTCACAAAATCATCATCATCATCATCATCATCATCATCATCATCATCACCATCTTCTTCTTCATCTCCTATTAAATCTACCGCTCCTTCGACCACCTCTATCTTTACTAGCCTGACGTATGCTATTTAACTAAAATGATCTTACTTTTATGCTGTCATATTGCCTTTTTGAGCTTACCAAATTACCGTTTAGTTGCAAAACACGAAATAAATATACGTTAATATGGCCCTAGATTCTTATCATACCCAGACTGTTATCATTACCATATTGATCTTAGATGTCTAATCAGGATAAAATGTCAGGATAATTTCTCAAACGCATACTGTAAACATGAATGAATTCATCGGTTACTGACCCGCTCCCTAACATCTGATGTTGCAACGCAGCCACCATTGTGATAAGTATTTTTGCGTTTTATTTCTAATCTGTAACACTCACCCTTCCTGAAATATCCAGTGGATCCGTCTTGCCAGGGGATGTGATAGGTTTGATCTTTGGTCTTCTCACTCGCATTTTTTAGATTCTTGAAGGAACAGGCTTCGGCTATGTCCTGGTACTTCTCTTCAGGAAGGGGACGATCCAGATATTCCGCTATTCTCCTTATCTGTGCCACACAGTCCTTAAAGAGACTCGCATTGCATAAGTGTATGATAAACTATCTGGAGATGAATATCGATAATCTTAGACATGTATAGTGATCATATTCATCACCAAGCCACTTATCTAAAAATCCTTGACGCACCACAATATAAACATATAGATTCACCAACTAGATAACATCAATATAGAACACACTTTATGGATAACAACTTCTTTTTATTCGTGAGTGCGACGTTTCGCTACTTAGGCGAGCGTCCCGACTCATCAACAGCCGAGTGAAAGAACATCAGACCTCTGTTACCAATTCCGACAGCAAATCAGCCATTTCCGACCACATCAAACCAAGCCCCAATCATTAGATAGAGTGGTCTGACATCACCATTCTCTCTAACAAACAAACAGACTTCACTAAATGCAAGCTTACCGAAGCCATCCACATCAAACGCCAAAAGCCCACCATCAACCGAGACCAAGGATACTTCATTCCATCCGCTTATGATGCACTCATCCACCAAGCCCAATCTACTGTATAAACTCTGCTGTATAAACATCTCATTATTATTTGTACATCATTGGCTTCCACGCCTGTCCTTTGTCTACTCTCTGGCTTCATCAGCTTTCTGCCTAGTCAAATATGTTAATTATGTTGTTTTCTTTGTTACATTGTTACATCTAGCATATATATACTTCCCCCCTTCTTCATGTTCCATTATGCTTGACAACGGTACAAGAATCTGTATCGAAACGTCGCACTCACGAATAAAAAGAAGTTGTAATCCATAAAGTGTGTTCTATATTGACCTTCCCAACTTCTAAAATGCCACTCAAAGAAGTTAGATAGCATCATGTGTTATGTCCTTTTCTTACGTTCACCGGCAGCGGCATGTATTGCTGAACGTGACGCCTACTCGTCCTTTCCTTCAACATGGAGTATGTGGTCCCAAGGTGACAGTGATACATCGCAGTCAAACGTGACATTATGAACACAACATTATACAGTTCTCAATGCAATACAGGCGCAAGTTATCATAGATACATTGTGACTACAAAAATGCAAGGAAGTCTCGACATCACATTATGCACGCTGTAATCCAACCACACAAGCCGTTGGTCTGTAGCTATAATACTATGGATGTAAACTTCTCCTGTATTGTATACACAACGTTTCTGGGCTATTCCTTGCCCTATGACATGACCTTTATGTCATTCACCTGACGAAGAAATAGCCCAGAAACGCTTTGTGTTATACTTGAATACCAACTTCTATATGCCTCTCAATAACATCATAATACGTTGGGAAAAGTCACATATCCATGTCACGTGTCTAAGCATTTAGAAGTCTAAATCTGTACAATGAATGTGAGTGAGTGAGTTTAGGTTTACCCCGCACTCAGCAATATTCCAGCTATATGTGGGCGGTCCGTAGATAATCGAGTCTTGACCAGACAATCCACTGAACAATAGCATGAGCATCGATCTGCGCAATTGGGAACCAATGACAGATGTCAACCAAGTCAGCGAAACTGACTACCCGATCCCGTTAGTCGCCTCTTACGACAAGCATAGTCGCTTTTTATGGCAAGTACATGGGTTGCTAAAGACCTATTCTACCCCGGATCTTCACGGGTCATCTGTACAATGAATCTTGAAGTCGGTTTGTCATGCTGCTATAACATTTCACCTGTTTCATGTCTTCGTACTGCACGCAGCATATGTCCAATCCTTTATGCATAGCAGAAATGTTTTTCCATGCAATGGCATGGTGAAATATCGAACCAACAGGAACTGGTAAAAAGAAAACAAGTGGCATACGAACAAAGTCATGTACAGTAACAACAGAAGGTAACATATAAAGTTGTATGCGATTTTGTGGTATTTAGATTGATTACTAAAGACATTCTTTTTTCACGTCCCCTGACGGATTGGTTGGCAATTGAATAGGAAGAGCCTGGGACGCACTAAGGTGATTTATTAAATTGATTTCATATTATTATCTACATTTGTTCATCTGTTGTTGATTAAGCAGACAATATGTGAAGTTGTTAACATTCAGGTTATTGGTCATAAAAATGTTTCTTTTAGATTTTGTGTTTATGTGATTTTGAGATTTAAACAGACTGGTGGTTTTTGCGTTAATATATCTTTCCATAAAACCCAACTATTATGAAGATTTCATCACTTCTTTGATAACGGCGCCTACGGCAAAAAAACATCGCATCTATTGCAATAGCAGTTGTCTATCCAGGAAAGTTGTTTCTCTTCATCATACCGTTCAAACTATTAAACTATGGAAAACTCAAAAGCATGTACTTTTAAGTCTATTCAGGAAGAGACAGTTTCATTATATGCGTGGAAACACATGATGAGAGTTCAGTTATCTTACAAGTGGTAAGGGGTTTAATCTCCTTCTCTTTAGCGGCACCGTAACCCAGCTATTGACACGAATCAAATGAATCTGTAAAACTATAAACACGGCAGTTCTCATCCCCAGTCTTCACAAGCTGAATTGAATAGAATAAAATCACAGTTAATGTAGGAGTCAGATGGCCGTTAACCTGCTGTGCTGAATGTGAAGACGAAGATGTTCGTACCATTACCGTCTATGAAGAACCTGAGGAACTCGTCCCAGGAGCCAGTGAAGGTCACTTGCCGTGAGGGGTTGTCCTCACGTACTTGTTGGCTCAACTGACAAAAGTATGACACTGCACAGTCTTTGGGGTTCCTCTGGACGTACACCACCTTGCATCTGCGTTCCCATAGCAACTCTGGCATATGTCTGTAAATACCGGAGGCGTGTATGAAATGTATCATCACACGGGCGTTAGGGAGCTTCAAATCATATCAATACAGTATGTGAATATCATGATGCTCGGCTGCCGACGTCCACGTTCGGAATATGAAGTGTGTCGTCGAGTGATTGGGTTTGTGCGTTGGTTTCACGTAAATATATAACTCCAAAACATGGCTTTTGTGCTTTGTTTCTATGCAGGGAATGGAAATGATGGTGTGGTGAGCTAACGCATTAACTATTTTACACATGTATAGTTTCCTTGAGTTTCTTAAATGCACATCATTTATGTCACAATTTATCCTACCCTGGCAATAAATGGGTTTGAATGATCCTGGGTGATGCGAGTTCCTCCATTCCTTCGCCGGTCCTATGTTCCAGTGCAGCAGAATTTATCCAGTGTTTGGTGTACTCGGCCTTGCCTGCCACGATCATGTTGAGGATTTCCCAAGTCCAGTGAGTGCCTGGAATATATCATTGGTGACAAATACTTCTTATCTAGGTACATATGGTCTTTGTTGAAAAGTATACGGTCGCTATAGGACATGTATAGAAATTATTGCATAGAATAATGTTTGTGCAACCCTGGCAATCTTGATGTGGAAGCATTAGTAAATGCGAATTTATTAACCATACAATACACGATAACAAAATTTGTCAAATATTCATGTCTTTGTAGTTTGTCGCTCACACTTGTGTTATACAAGACACTTGGTATGGATGTGCAACTTTTTATTGTTTACACACGGCGTTTCTGGGCTAATGCTTGCCCTTTCATCAGGTGAATGTGTTATACGTGTTGGGTTATTTTAGTGTTCAAGCAGCACTCGTTGACCTCCAATCCCAAGGTAGACAACACGATCAAATCCATAGTATCCTTCCTGCTACTGAAAATCTCACCTGACTTGGGATATGAGCACAGAAAGATGTCGTCATCTCTGATTGGACGGGATTTCATCGTCTTGAGCTTCTCTGTCAGAGTCTTAAACTCGACAACACCGTCTATCTTTACCAGTGGAGCCGTCCATCCTGCCAGCTTATTTAGTTCTTCTATAGTCGCCATGTTCCGTTCGATATTCTGCTTGCTAAACACTCCACCAGTTCTGTAGCCTACTGTGGAAACCTTTATAACCTACCGTTAGAACCTTCCCGTTCGTAAGCCTGTAAATGTCGTAGTATCAGTGATTAGGGGACGTGGGAATTGTATGATAACTGCGGGGCTCTGAAAAGTACATATATACATGATAAATGATATTATGCGTATACATGGGAGCAGTTCTAATTGCTATAGATATACGTATACACGAATATACGGTTGGAGTGGCTACATAGTGACATATTTTATGCTATACAATGTATATTAATGGACACTATTCCATATATATAGTGATTTGATTTCCAACGTCGACAGCTGCTCGTGGGCGTTGTTACACATGCTTAACCCTGTCTCATAGAGACAATATATACTAAGTCAAAAAAGAAACTTCACAAAATGCAATTTGAAAAATAATGAATACTTTTTCTCTGATGATACATCTATGTATCCGAAATGGGATCCCTATCTTTCGACTCTAGAAAAACGTTAGCAAAACCGACTCAAACTCATTCATTCGTCGTGCAAATGACGTTAGTGCCAAATTAGGTTTTGCACGTGCAGTCAATCACGTGATCTTCGCATAGAAGTTTTCTTCATATGCACGTGTTTGCATTGGCTTCAAGAATTGACAAAACACTTTTAAACCAAAATTCTAACGGAACTTGAAATGCCACGATTGTCAAATGTGCAACGTGGCATATTGCAAGCGGGAAGATAAGTTATTGGCGTCTCAAGAGCAATTGGGATGCAGCCGTCGTACTGTGTATGACTTGCGAGGTCGTCTACAACAAACTGGCACCACTTCTGATCGCCCAAGGTCGGGTCGTCCACGTGTAACGTCACGAGCAGAAGACCGTCAAATCGTCCTACGTCACCTACGTGACAGATTTCTGCCGGCTACACGAACCAGGGCTGATATGTTTAGAGGTCGACTCTCCTCACAGACCATTCGAAATCGGTTGCGGGCTTCCAGTCTCTATTCTCGACGTTCATATCGTGGGCCAATATTGACTCCGTTTCATCAACGTCAACGTCTGCTGTGGGCCCAACGTCACCTCCGATGGACCCAGAGAGACTGGAATCGAGTCGTCTTTAGCGATGAAACCAGGTTTACCCTCAGATTCGCGGACGGCAGGCATAGAGTCTGGAGACAACGTCGTGAACGGTATGCCCAATGTTGTGTACAGGAAGTCGACAGATTCGGGGGCGGAAGTTGCATGGTGTGGGGTGCTTTCTGTGGGAACAACCGTTCCCGACTTCTGGTCATCCGTGGAAACCTCACAGCTGCTGCTTACCGCGACCAGGTGCTCACCCCTGAACTCGTTCCTTTCATGGCGGCTCATGGCCCAGGTCTACAGTTCCAGCATGATAATGCTCTGGCCGCATACCGCGATGTTGACACGAAATTTCCTTCAAAACGCTGGAATCAACGTCATGGACTGGTCATCGAGGTCCCCTGACCTTAATCCAATAGAGCACGTTTGGGATGCACTTGGGAGAAGGCCTCGTGGTCTTAGGAACCAACCTCAGAATTTGCAGGAACTTGGCGCTGCCTTGCAAGAGCAATGGCGCAGAATCCCCAACCACGTGTTCACAAGCATCAGGCAGTCGATGAGGAGACGGTGTTTGGCAGTGGTGAATGCGCGGGGCGGCCATACACGATATTGAACTGAGACATTTCGCATTTTTATTCTTGTGACTTGACATTCTGTATACCCATGTTTTGGAACGGCGGTGTAGCCTAATGGAACTGATTATGGCACTGTCAGTGTATCGAGTACATCACACATATCTCAGCAATGAAATAACAACAATTTAACCATCTTACCATCCCTCGTTCTTTTATAGTGCCCTGCAGAAAAAAAATGAAGTTTCTTTTTTGACTCAGTATATATTGACTGGTTACCTGATATAAGTTGGTAATTGCATGCTACGTGTATCAATACCACCCAAGTATGCACAAATTACATATTCATGTATACTGATGGTTTGTATGTACATAGAATACAGACATTTCTGTGAAATAACTTCTGTGGCACAGGTGTTTGCAAATGGGTTACGAACACTTTCAGCAATGATATACCCATACTGCAAGCCTTCCTCATTATGAAGAATCGACATTTACCATTTGTAGTAATATGCACATTTGACATTCAGTTTCAGATGCCTTCAGTCATAGTTGTTGTACAGATTAATATGGATGAGCATTCATACTATGCGGGTATGTTGAAGCGTTTTCACTGATGATATTGTGTATGTTACTAAAACGGAAAGTGGGTAATTATTGGTGTAGTTTTTTATTATTATGATTTACAGATTAAAGATGTATGATAGGGTATGCAGCAGAGAGGATTTGGGTGATCCTGGCACAGTCAGACTGGTAAGGCTCATCATCAGCTCAGGACCCTTGCCCCCTCTACACGCAGCCCAGACAGTGAATGGGACTTCTCACAGGAAATACATCCTAGTCGAACCCACAAAGAACTTTCAGGAGAATATGTAGTCTTCCCAACACTGCAGCCTTCTGCATTACCCAGAGTGTCAGAAGGGCTGTGCTCCCGGTGGAGAACCCGGGCACTCTCCTGATCTGCGTCAAGAGATCAGGAGGTACCAAACCAAGAGCACCGAGAACAAAGGGGAGCCTGGCGACAGTATACTTGGGATGCAAGCGAGACATTTCAAAGGCGAGGTCCGCATATTTATCATGCTTTTCCTGAATCTTGCCAATCACGTTGCTGTCAAAAGGGACAGAAAATTCAATGGAGAATTCAATGATATAAATAAATTCGTTGGCTTTAAAAAAGGACAAGATCAGGTTTGTTGGCTGGAAATCTTCTGAGGCTGTATATAGGCCTATTCCAGAGAAGTTTTAAAGCATCATTTTCCATGACGCCCTGGACATGTTCAGGGTCGTTCCATGGATGGACGTCGGAGTTCAAGCTGCAGGCATGGTGGAGACGGTAGTAAAAGCAACGAGTCATTTTTATCATTATTATAATTGGATATATATATTGTGCACATATCCACGCACTAGTGCATGATCAAGGCGCTGGTATTTTGGTTAGTTTGGTAGTTTTGGTAGCTTGCAGGTGTTATTTTTAATTGTTCCATCTTGTTCATAGGTGTTGTATTGTGTCCAAGACTTGAACGTTTTCACTTTCATCAGCACTATATTCGTTAAATATCAGAATTTTGATTCTGCTCCACTTGAGGTGACCATAACAACGGTCATATGCTGATCTGACCCCGTCATAAACGACAGGAAAATACGATGGGGTTGTTATTGCTTGTTGTTATTTTAGTTTGTGTATTTCTCATTGACTATTTCATGAATAGTGAACATTTATTTATTGTTATATTGTAAAAGGGAATTCTGAACTGTCCCTTTCTGTTTATATAGCGCTTATAAACAGCTGTGATAGAAAGCTCAGCAGGCCTAGACTCCTGTTTCCTCGTGCATATGAAAATGGATTTCAGTTTGTTTTGTCCGTTAGAAACACTGCAAATTGTCAATGCATTTTAATGCAAGCTTCAAGGAAAACAAAGAACATAACAATGTCTATAATTTTAAGAATGCTCTGCCAAAATTTAACCTCGGCATTATCCTGTTTCCGGATAACGGTTAAAGTGGGATGGTTCCAAGTGTTCACAGTTAGCGTATACTGCTACTCCTGTCACACCGGCAAGAAACACACGCAGAGGAAATCCAGAGTTCACCTGACAAACATCGTAATGATAGGAATTTATGTTCCCTTAACTGCCCCTTCACTTACTCCGGTGTACCCCATTCCTATAAAACGGGAATACTTCGAAAGGCATCGTCAATCCTTGTGGTGATAAACAATTCTACTTTGGAATGGCAACTGGTGCAAGTCACAGCACTACATTAGTTTGAAGTGTGCACATTCCACATAAAATAAGTTATCTCCGATCTAAGCTTAGTATTCCACGACTGTGAGACCATCCGTAAAGAGGCGATGATGTTACACAGGGACTATTCACTTTCATATGTTATCTGCTTCATCAGTGACCAGATATACCATTTTATTCCTTGTGGTGGTTTGCTGTCACTCACAACCAGTAAACGTCAGGTGTCTCACGACAATAGTCAGATTTGCCCAGTGGAGATCTCAGGTAGGTTTTTCATCTTCGTCATATTCATATTTTATGGAAATGCCAGTTATTGTACATTTTACATTCTACCAATCAGATGAACATACATTGAATACATATTACCATTATTCTACTTGTTTAAGCACATATTACCATTATTCTACTTGTTTAAGCACATATTACCATTATTCTACTTGTTTAAGCACATACTACCATTATTCAACTTGTTTAAGCACATATTACCATTATTCCATTTGTTTAAGCACATGTTACCATTATTCTACTTGTTTAAGCACATATTACCATTATTCTACTTGTTTAAGCACTTGCTGACCTAGTGAAATATTCAGGCATAGTGAAGCTGTCTTTGACCTTTTGGTTTTTGGCCAGAAGAGTTTTCATTTAAACAGACACGTTGAACATAATTTAAAAATTGTCACTTTACCTTTCCTCCCACACACGCTGGCGTCACTGATAAACTGTTACAAGCGTTAAATGTGGAGATACCACGTGTCTGGGCGGACAGTCAGACATCAGACAGCTCCAAGAAGAGTCACAGTGTTATTTCACATACGTAGTTTTTTTGTCACATATGAGTAAACGTTATATTTTTCTTTTCACATCAATAACAGGTTTCTTCATAGAACAAACTGAATGTATTCGTGGCATTTGTGTCGAAACATGGAGGCATGTGTGGCAAGTTAACTCTGCGGCGGAAATTGAAAATGTACTAACGTCATTAAATGATGAAAGAGTACAAGTGGACTACGTGTTCATGGCGTATCACGGAATGTATGCCTTTCCCCGGACACCTGCTGGTATCCCAAATGTCAATGAACCCGTGACATAACTGTGCAACGTTTTTCCCAAATGGAATGTTTTTGTGGATAATTGAATAAGGCTATTCTCTGTCGTCGTCGTTCATCTTTAATGTTACAAGATACAAGGAACAACGTTCTTGCGAAAGAATGCGTTTACCGTGCAGTTCACGGTTTCTTGACAGTGCAGCATTACATCTAACCACCATAGAGTTAAACTACTGTTTATTGTATATGTCTACAGTGTATTGAATCGTTGGGTTCGTAATACTGCATTTTACATATCAGGCTCTTTCTGCACGATGAAATCCAGAAAGTATTTTCCCCTGGTTGTCACTGCCGCCACCTGTACTCTATACCTAACTGTATTTTTCACAAATTTTACAGTGCAAACTTTCCCCAATGAATTTGAACATGACGAAGAACCAGTTGCAGAACGTTTTCTTATCGGATACAATATAGCTTACTATGGGGATTTCTATTTTACTAATCACAGTCCAACCCATATTCCACATAGCAGGATAAATATAATTGCCGTAGAACAACCAGGACCAAAAATGATACTCCTGTGATTCTATCGAAGACTTTAGAACCTTCTGAGGATGTTTTGAATATCCAGAGTTTCCACAAAGTAATGCCACAATCAGGACCAAATAATGATAAATCTGTGATTCTATCAAAGACTGCAGAACACTCTGAAGGTGTTGTGAATATCCAGAGTTTCCACAAAGAAAGGCCACATCCAGGACCGAATAATGAAACTGTTGTGACACGACCTAAACCTCTGCAATCTGCGGCTAGTGTCCAAATGTCTAGTAGACATGATGATAGGACTGTTCGCGAGGTCTTCCTATTGCCTCCAGAACCAGAACCAGTTCCTGTGCCACCAACTGTGAAGGACCGACACATCAAGAATGGAAACAGAAATATATTACAATTGTCCCCCACTATTCCACGAACGGACATACATTTGCACAAAGATGTATTAACAAGTAAAGATCTACATCGGATTGCAGGAAAAGCAAACGAACAAAGAGGTCAGACTTTGGCAACGTATACAAATACAATTATACCTGGTAGTCAAGGCAAACACTTTAAAGGTGTTGTGTATGAACATGTGGGTCATGAGAAAGAAGGTAGTGTGAGTTCTTTACGAACGCATAAGCCCAATACAGACACAGTAAAACACCCACCAGGACACTTTCATGACAACAAGCACACGGGGAGTCACAAGTCATATCAAATGCAAATGACCCCTGCGTCGTTTGACAAGTCGAAAATCAAACCTGGTTTCAGGAAAGCTGATACTACCCCAAACTTTACTCAGAAAAGTATGCCCAACATGCAGGGATACTCAGACACGAATGGACGTTTGCTCAAACATGGCTCTAGAATCCCAAACAACAGCTTAAACAATACTTCGGCAAGGACAGAACATTTAGTTCGCAAGCCAAGGTCTGGTGCAAAGTCTAAAGCCAAGTTATCTAACTTTATATCGAGACGACCCATGCATCCGGAAGATCACAACGCATCCATAACACAACACAATATAAACGTGAGACCAACAGTGAAAAATAACCAGAAACCAAAAGGTTTTGAAGGCAATAACGGTCTACAGATCACAGCTCCGGCGATACTTAGGAAACATGAAAAATCCAATATGATTCCATTCTTCGGCCAAACAAAATATATCAACCCAGGACCTAAACAAAGAACAGTTGAACAACCAAACACCGTTCAATTCCATTCCTGAGGCCACCCGAAATTCCAACAAAATTGACTGATTCGACATTGTACAGAAAACGGCATATGATAATTACAACAAAATCCCATTCTTGAGGCAACCCGAAATTCTAACAACACCGACTGTTTCAACTGTACAAAAAAGGGATTTGATGAGCATACCAACATTCCTTTCCTAAGGCACCCGGAAATTCCAACAACGCCGACTGTTTCAACTGTACAAAAAAGGGGATTTGATGAGCATACCAACATTCCTTTCCTAAGGCAACCGGAAATTCCAACAACGCCGACTGTTTCAACTGTACAAAAAAGGGGATTTGATGAGCATACCAACATTCCTTTCCTAAGGCAACCCGAAATTCCAACAACGCCGACTGTTTCAACTGTACAAAAAAGGAAATTTGATGAGCATACCAACATTCCTTTCCTAAGGCAACCCGAAATTCCAACAACACCGACTAGGTCAACTGCGCAACAAAGGGAATCAGATAGATATAGCAACATCCCAACATTAAGGCAACCTGATATTCCCACAACACCTATTTCGCCAAATGTACAACAAAGAGCTTTTAGAGATATATCAAAGATCCAAAACATAAGGCTGCCATCGGAACCCACACTTATTATTGATGACAGAATCCGAGACACTTCTCAGGTATCTTACTCTTCCTTTGGAAGACAGGCGAACCTTCAAACATTACCCACCGATGCAGCCACAGCATATGATGGAGATACATCAACGCCGATGAAACATCTGCGTCAGCCAGTTCCACCCTCTGGACCAAGCTACAGCAAGGAACAGACACAGCAGGAACTACTGTATCTGGATATGGAAATCGACTACAACAAGGAATCAACAATATTACGGAACGGTATCTTCAGGGTAAGAAGGGGTGAATCCCAGGAACCACGTCATATCAGTATGTCGAAGAAAAGGTCGATCTCTGCTTCTTATGTATTACATAGCGGAACCACAAGCCCAAAAATGACGGACAAAGAAAACATCAATATTGACACCGAGGATGAAATGGCTTCCAAAGTTTTAGCTCTTCCTGATGTTACCCACAGATCAACACCGGATCCCATTAGCAATTTGATCAAAAATAGCATAGAAGCCAAACTGTATACACAGTTACGTACTACAACTGCCTCTGACCACACTGAGAAGGACAAGGATGGGGAAGACTTGGATATGGCCATTCGCGAAGGCAATGCTGACTTGGGCGTCGTCACCGGAAGTCCGTCACAGGGGGACCACTTGATTACGTCTCAGGGAGAGACTCACAATGTACAGATAGAAGCTTTTGAGAGACCAGCTAAGTCCGGTGACTCTCAACTGCCACTGCCAACACTACAGTACTCGCCCAATGGACCAGGTAAAGTGTGACAGTGTAAACCACGATTTTGTTTGTATTATATTTCATCACAAATCCATTGACATTAAATTCTGACTGAGCCCATAACATTATTCTATGCACTCACATATTTTCAGTAGTATTGGGCAGCCTCAATGGAATGATGTAGTAGACATTCCATGCATTGACACATGCACTGATGCTTCTTGTCGACCTCTAAATTTCTAAACACAATTACAATGTCGTTATACTCAAAATAACACTGTTGTGTAACACACAACACGATCACATACACACACACACACACGCACACACGCACTCAAACATGCACACACAAATACAAACACATAGTCCGTAGCAATTCAATGTTCAAGTTTGCTGTTTGTGTATTTCAGAGAATGTTCATTAAATCATCCCACACATGTTAATGTGTCAAACTATCGCGTTCATGAATGTTCAATTCAACTGTTTTGAGAGTCATGATAATAGGTATTTTATGACACATATTGTTCGTTGTTGCGGAACATGTCTGTTGATATTTCATATATCATGTCATGTTAATCCAAAGTGTTCTGACATACTGAGCAATGATAGCCCAATGGTAGAGGTGGACTGACGAGTATCTACTGTAGATCAACCAACACTGCTTAAAATGAGGTATATCAACACACGAAGGAAAGCTGATCTGTCACAGGTGGCCGATTATGTATGGGTGAAATTAATCGCGTAGGCTGATAATGAATGATCTTATCTATCGCACAAACTGATTTAGGAACGTGTATACAACGCAGTGTTCACCATCTAACCCAGACAATAAGTACACGATATCTCATCTGAAGTGCATGCATGAGTGAGTGAGGGTTTTCACAGTAAATGCCATGCGCCGTGCGACAAACACGGAGGTGCTAAACATGCATTTCGATATAGTGTAAGACAGTCCACTCCACCTCACTCGACTCTGGCCCATCAAGGGTGGATGGGCAGCCTAGTGGTTAAAGCGTTCGCCAATCACGCCGAAGACCCGGGTTCGATTCTTCACATGCATGCAATGTGTGAAGCCCATTTTTGGTGTCAACAGCCGTGATATTGCTGGAATATTGCTAAAGGTGGCGTAAAACTAAACTCACTCACTCACTGTTCCGTTCTACTTCACCTCTCCCCACCCAACAACACTTCACCCCGTCTAACCATACCTCACCTCCTCAAAACGTGAAACACATAACTGTAGAGAGAGTGAATATGGCACTTGTATCAATATGTCAGCAATTCGAGGGATGCGGACGTCTGGCATGTACCTCACGCATTTTACCAATGTTGAAATCGAACCCAGGACTTCCGGTTTCTGATAACTGAAACATTACAATGCACCAGCGAACGAATGTTTCATGAGGTTAAGCTATTCACAGGGGAATACGGAACACCAGTCACAGTGGACTATGACAAACTCTCTGAGCGGCGCAGACTGCAATACGCGGAGGGTTACAAACAGAACCACTTTAACCAGTTCGTGAGTGACATGGTCTCTGTGAGACGACGGCTGTTGGACGACAGACTGACAAGGTATGGCAGCCGGGCCGATGGCTACAAATCAGTAATATTATACCTGTATACGGAGATAATACAACATGCCTAGACTCTCTGTAGAGAATAAAGCTCGGGCTTCAAATGATTTGTTATCACGTCAAATGTGTCTTTTGATATTAATATATTTAGTGTAAACGTTAATATTTTTTATGAATTTATTAAATATGTGCATTTATCATGTGTTTGAGATTCTGCTTTTAACTGGAAAACATAATTGATATCGCAGTCTTGTGGAACTAATATATGTCTGCCTCAATGAATCTCTGGTTGAAATACCTCGGAAAATTATAAATTTGTTGAACCTATATTATCTCATATTATTATGTTTTTGAACGTCGATTGTTTGTTTTATTGAAATGTTTTATCATGCATGACGTAGCATATTTAAACATGTCACTGTCATGGACGACAAAACCCAAGGAATGTATAATTTATCTTAGTCAGTCTCCAATTAAATATATGTTGTTTTTTAACAATGGTATACCTCATACAAATTTGACGAAATTTTATATTTAAAATTTCTCAAAGTTTGCCTGTTCGTGGATTCACTAATTTCTTTTCATGACTTTTTAAAACAAATGGAGTGATAAGTACGCGATCGGCCTCAAATTTAATTAGGATTAATTAACAGGTAATCTTGAAGATACAGCATGATTATGTTCATACTGCAATTGCTGAGTGCGTTGTTAAGCAACAAACAAACACATCATAACTACAACTTTGGGGTGATGTCGAGGATACTGACTGACAAGACGAGACGAGAAGAGTTCAATGAGTTGGTGGTCGCTCTGAATTGATGAAACACTGATGTAACAGCCATCAAATAAAGTTCGGACCCTCATGTGATCAAACATTGATTTTCCATAATGTTAATTTACTCGCGTAGGTAAACGCACGGGAAGTTTGTGTGTCGCAGCTATTCGTAAAGCGGCTACTGCGTTTCACGATGTGACATTCCGTGCTTCAAATACTCAATAACACCCGGAAATTGGCCAACACATGATGTTTATCGACATTGTAAGCACACAAATAAACCAAACGACCCACATGGGTTTTACTGTCTGCACTCATTGACATCGAGTAGGGGTACAGCAGCGAAGTGTCGTCAGCCGGCCGTTTCAGCTGGTTCCCATGGTAGCATCTGGAACTGCTCATTTATGTTCTTTAATGTGATTGAAAAACATGATTGAATGGTATTCGACGCTGCGTATTAATACGTACAAACATCGACCACACCATTGTATTGTTACGTCGTGAGCAGTGGTGACGTCATTCAACTCATTTTGTGACGTAAAGTCCGCATGAAAACACAAATGAGCAGTTCAGATGTTACCATGAGATGCAGCCGAAACGGCCGGCTGATGACACTTCACTGCTGTACCCGTACTCGATGTCAATGAGTGCAGACACAAAAACGCGTGTGTGCCTTTTGGTTTACTTTTGTGTTTACAATGTCGATGAACATCATGTGTTGGCCAATTTCCGGGTGTTATTGAGTATTTGAAGCACTGGAATATTTCATTTGAAACCTTCGGCTAATGCCGTCGGTTCCAAATGAATCCCTGTGCCGTCGGTTCCAAATGAACTCCCGTGCTTCAAATACTCAATAACACCCGGAAATTGGCCAACACATGATGTTTATCTCCTAATTGATGAACATTCTTTAAGAAGTATTCTAAACAATCAGACACTGCTGGTGTACTCGCACGTCACAAAAGTGACGTCACTTTCGACCATATTATTAACCTTCCGAACGGAATCTGACCCGTGTGATAATCGAGACTGTTTAGTCTCTGGCGTTGACCTCTTGAATAAACGCACAATCTAAATATCGAAAATATCTTATAATAGTCAATTTTCTATCAAGTCTTAGGCCAGCACGTATTACCACACATATCTTGAATATTACATGGAATCTGAATTTTGTCATCTATATTTGTTAAGTTCATTATATAACAAGTTTTACCTTCGAAATCAAAGACGGAAATGCTTTCCGTAAATATTGACATCTGTGGTGATTCCCTCAAATGAGGAGCTGTTCCAATCAGATTTTTATTTCGAGGAGTTTCCAAATCGACGGTTGAACAAAAGATGATCAGGTAAAATCCTTTATTTGGGGAGGAAATATACCTTCATCAGTTGCAGGACAAAGTTCTACCCGGTTAAGTTACCGGAAGTCAGTGTCATCATATCATTCCATAACGAGGCTTGGTCAACACTCCTCCGGTCAGTTCACAGCATACTGGACAGATCGCCACCGGAACTACTGAGGGAGATCATTCTTGTGGATGACCTATCCGATAAAAGTAAATAATACTGAAATACTTACATTTCAGACAGTAATGATCCTATCTCTGAATAGTCTCCCTAATGATAGCGGAGAATACAAAATGCTAATGGAGAACGAGAGCCGGAAACATTTTTTGATTTTCTTTGCCAATAAAAAGCTCTTCAGATAAATAGAACTGAGATTCAACACAGCAATCGCATCTCTTTCGCCGTCGTAAATATATAACCTCCACGTCTGAGAAAGTCCAGACTCGACAACTCAGCGAATCCATTGGGCGTAAAAAGAATAGAGCAGTGCACACAGGTTCCTTGAAAGCCATCTGCTGAGATACTGCGTCTTATGTTAAATAACAGTCCATTTTCTGGTAAAGGATATGTTACGTCAATAGTGATCTACTATTTCTTTTGAAACCTGGCCCTTGAAGTCAATATGTCGTCGTACATCGATTTATTCCCAGTTCCACACAAGCAGAGTTATTCAATGAGCTGATAAAATCTTCATTTGACCAATGCCCAGGGGTGTTTTGATCCACACATTATCGTATATGATATTTTGTAGAATACTCTTTGACTGGCTGACTGAGTTTGGTTTTACGCTGCTTTTAGCAATATTCCAGCAACATCACGGCGGGGGACACCAAAAATGGGCTTCACACATTGTGCCCATGTGGGGATTCGAACCCGGGTCTTCGGCGTGACGAGCCAACGCTTTAACCATTAGGCTACCCCACTGCCCCCGAATACTCTTTGAACATCAATACAAAGTAAATAGGTATGTCAGGGAACCAAGTGCTTCATGTTCTTATAGGATAAAAAAACAAACAACTAATAAATGTGTCAGGAGGCGGGAGTAAAATATATGATAAATGCATAGGTTAATTATGCGTTCTCATTTCGCCTGTGTATATGTTTTACTGTCCATATCTCCATATTTCCTGTTCTCTCAATCATCAGATGTCAAAATTACCATTGTATCCAATAAGGTTATCTGAAGACCCCACTAGAAGAACACATTGCACCTCTCGTCAAGGTCCAACTTATCCGCACGAAAACGAGACAGGGAGTGGCACGTGCTCGGCTCGTTGGTTACTCCGTTGCGCGAGCGCCAGTCCTGATCTTCATGGATTCACACACTGAATGTTTCCCAGGTAACAGGTTACTCGTTGACCCTATTGTGTCGTTTGTCATCTCCACTTTTTACATACCATCGAAACGTTGTTTGTCTTAAACCGTTTGCCGCTATCCAGAGGTCAGCAGGTAACTGGTTATTTCGCCCCAAACACGTTCACCCCAGCACAGGTTCACCCAAGGCTGTTTCACCCGGGTTGTTTCACCCCATACAGTTTCACCCCATTTAGAGGTTGTTTCACCCTAGCAAATAATTATTTTTAACTGTAAAATTGTTTCAATATTTTATTCATCTATGTATAGTGTCGAAACAGCATATTCAGATTGTATGAATAATTGTATCAGTCCATATTGGCTGTGTTGGATCGGTCCTTTGGGGCGGTGGGGTAGCCTAGTGGTTAAAGCGTTGGCTCGTCCCGCCGAAGACCAGGGTTCGAATCCCCACAAGGGTACAATGTGTGAAGCCCATTTCTGGTGTTCCCCGCCGTGATGTTGCTGGAATATTGCTAATAGCGGCGTAAAACCAAACTCAGTCAGTCAGTCAGTCAGTCAGTGGATCGGTCCTTCAGTGACGATAGCGAGTAGCTGCCTTGGACAGGAATGACCTTGTGGAGCGTTCCTTGTCTGTGCACTGTGTCCAGAGGTCAAGAAGCTTCTCGTGGATCTTCATGAATTTCTGCCTATTGTCTCTTGATAGAAGAACATTTTGAACCAGGCACACTTGGGTTTTCACTTGGTCAGCCTCACTTCTCAAGAGCGGCGCAAGAACATAAAGTGGCAATCCAGCACACCACATTTATTGTTCAGCACTTACCTGATTGTTGTAAAAACATTGCCTAATTAGGATTGACAGATTTAAACATTAATACCATTATCCATGTTTACTCAATTAGTTGGGTGAAGCAACTCTTGATTAGGGGTGAAGCAACCCCTAATATGGAATGAATTGATCTGGTTTGGAATTGGGATGAAACCACCCGGGTGAAACTACCTGGGGTGAAACGACCCGAAACCGATCATCATATGGAAGGATGTGGTTTGACTGCCTTGGAAGAAGAGTACATGGTTTCAAAATCTCAAGTTTTGAAATAGGCCCCTCAGTGCCTACTATAAATCCTCTCCGTGCGGACCAGCCATTTACACTAACAAGCATCCTTTGTGCTCTCTATATATACTTCCAAATGTGTGAGAAAAGTGATGCCCACCCGTGCATACAGAGTTTATACATCAACACACCCACAGTAATATGCCAAGAAGGCAGAAATATGCGTTCGTCAACTCTTCATCTGCACAAGATTTACATAACTGGCATTAGCATGAATGTAGTTGTCTTTACCTATAACTGTTACAATGTGTTTGCGAAACTAGTGACAGTACGTGATCATCGGTGATGAGCTGATGCATGTAGGTATCATGTATCTTATACACGTCACTATTAGAACTAACGCAACTTAATCCCTGTTCAACAGGTTGGCTTGAACCATTGTTGGAGGGAATATCACTTGACTCCACAACAGTTACATTCCCGGTGATAACTCCTATTGATGCCCATGACTTTAGTTCCCGGACATCTTTGCCTACACATCGAGGTGGCTTTCGTTGGGAAGGCCTGAGGTTCATGTGGGATGCCATTCCTGCCCATCAACAGAACAGAACAGAGACTGATCCGATAAGGTAAACCTATGAGTAGTTGACAGTGGGGGAGGGATGTGGTTTCCGACATTTTCATACGTCCTTGGTGTGTGGCTGTTTGGACTAGTCCAAACTTATGATAATGTCTTTTGTAGGGCTACATCGCATTTTAACACACATCACACACACCTCTCCCAATGAACCAGTCATCTACCTAATCTAGAGCGCCAGGACGATCGGTAACACGTATTAAATGTTAATGTCTTATACGAGTGAGCGTTATTTCCAGATCCCCCACCATCCCGGGGGGTGTATTTGCCATCGACAAGGACTTCTTTGAACAGCTCGGAGGTTTTGATCCTGGGATGATGTTTTGGGGAGGGAAAACCTGGAACTCTCCTTTAAGGTGAGAGGATATTGCAATTTGCACACTTCTGGTCAAACATTAACACTTCCAGATCATGTTATTGGCAGAATAAAATAAATGCACTAAAGAGGTTTTGGGCTCTTCATCCACCCAGAGCCCTTGCCTCTTTACAGACAGGAATTGGATCTTTATAGGAAGCGCTTTTGCTCAAAACCAGCAACATCGATTTGGAAAATGTGGAGACTCCCCAACCCTGCACCATTCATATTTCCCATATTACCCATAGTGTCAGTAGAGCTGGTTGTATTCCTGACAGCAAACCAGGGTTCTCTCCCAAAGTTTATCAAAAGACTGGGAGGTACCGAAATTGAAGCACCAATAGTTTGGGGTTTTTTTTTAGGGGCTGTGTTGAGGAGGCCCCAGGATAATAACATTCCTTGACAGAGTTTAAACGATCTGAGGACAAACATAATAATAATGTGTCCATTTATATAGCGCCAAACTCCACACTAGGTATGCTCATAGCGCTAACAATCAAGGCGCAGCACATTATTACCCCGGATAACCCATGCTGCCTGTTAGGCGCTTGAAGGTTATAGTCATATGACTTTTTCCACCGGGTACCCATTTTCCTGCTGGGTGAACAGAGACAATTTTGAACAAACTCACTTGCCTAAGGTGAGACCACATGTGTCACATGTGCTTCGTTGTTTCTGAAGTCCTAGAAACTCTCAGGAGTCAAGCTGCCAAACACGGTCACCCATCCAAGGACTCTCCGAGCTCGACGCTGCTTAACTTCACCGATTTGTGACTTGAGCTTTGAGCACAGGACCACGCGCCAGTAAAGCACTTGATCTGCTGTTGTGGGAACCGACGGTTCCTGCAATGATGTCTGACCAGTATTGTCAGTTAGCGCACCAGGCACATTTTGCATGTGTACCTTTAGACGTGGGAGAGGGGGTCTCGAATATTCTGCTCTGTCAGATACATTAGCATGACTTTGCCCCAATGGCGCATTGATACTTAACCATTTACGCGTGGAATTCCTCGCCATCCTGTTGCCTTCGCACGTTCAAGACGTTTGGGCATGAGTTGGTGTGTCCATGATATTCTTTGAATAGGTTGGTTTCTTTTCCGTAAGTATGTTAGTTATTATTATTATGATTACTGTCAGTGCGTGTTATTGTGGTCATACTATCAGTCATCATATTGTGCGATGTTTACCAAATTCATAATCACAATACATTTCCCCCCGCAAAAGGTTTGGATGTGCAATGGTAGTGTACACCTGCTGCCATGTTCACAAGTTGGTCACGTGTTCCGGGAACTCCAACCCTGTCGCGTGGCCCAACAGACAGGACGCCGCTAACGTGAACTCTGCGAGAGTAGCTGAAGTGTGGATGGATGATTATAAGAACTATCTGCTTGGTGCATCTTTCTTGAAACCGGTGAGCATGCAGGATTCCGTACTTTTCGCGACAAATGTCCCAAATTTGTAAGAATATATATGTCTCAGTCAACATATGTTTCTCGTTTTAATGTTTAATCATGATGGAAGGATCTTACTATAGTAAAAATATATCTTATGAATATTTTTAACAGGACAATTATGGTGACATATCCTCACGTCAAGCTCTGAGGCAGCGCCTTCGCTGTCACGACTTCCACTGGTACATGCGCAACGTCTACCCGGAAAAACACGTAGCATCTGGAGAGGTGAGGCCACCTGGCTGCAAAGTTGTGGGCATGCCGTAGTAGTAGTAGTAGTAGTAGTAGTAGTAGTAGTAGTAGTAGTAGTAGTAGTAGTAGTAGTAGTAGTAGTAGTACTAGTAGTAGAAGCAACTTCTAGCATATAGAAACGGAACAATAACAAATCACCACAAGGGTACAATGCATAAAGTTACTTTGAATGTGATACTGAGCTGTTGTTACAGGTTGTGTGAAACCACTTATCATTTAATCGACAGCTAAGACCAACAGGTTCCGGTCTGTGCATGACAAGCCTGGATGGAGAGAGCGGAAGACTCCAACTGAGGCCGTGTCATGGACAGGGTGAGAACCAGGTAGGTGCAGGGTGTCCATCCTGCGATATGTTGACGCGTGGTGTTGTGGTTGGTCCTGCTAAATGTGGACAACGTGTGGTTTTCCTGCTTGACATTACCACTTTGCTTTGTGTCATTCACCGAGCCCTGTTTGGATTTCATTATATTCTACATGATTCACACAATCGATCACATGCCTCACAAGACTCACTACACATTGCACGCACACACTGCACAACAAACGTAACACACAGAAACGACACACCACCACACATCACCAGACACACCACACATCACCAGACACACCACACATCACCACACATCACCACACATCACCACACATCACCAGACACATCACACACATCACCACACACACTAGACACCACACATCACCACACACCACACACCACACATCACCAGACACACCACACATCACCACACATCACCACACATCACCACATGCACCACACATCACCACACATCACCACACATCACCAGACACACCACACATCACCACACCACACATCACCACACATCACCACACATCACCAGACACACCACATATCACCACACATCACCAGATCACCACACATCACCACACATCACCACACATCACCACACACACCACACATCACCAGACACACCACACATCACCACACATCACCAGACACACCACACATCACCACACATCACCACACATCACCACACACACCACACATCACCACACACACCACACATCACCACACACACCACACATCACCACATCACCACACCACACACACCACACATCACCAGACACCACACACATCACCACACACACCACACACATCACACATCACCAGACCACCACATCACCACACATCACACAGACCACCACATCACCACACATCACCACACACACCACACATCACCAGACATCACCACACATCACCACATCACCACACATCACCACACATCACCAGACCACACATCACCAGACACACCACACATCACCACATTAAAGATGAGTTCAGGTCTGAATGTACATATCTTTTAATCTTTGCGATAAAGCATTATAAAATGGCTTCGGGCAGGTAATCTTTTGTGACAAAATTACATCACTAAAACCACAATGATTTAGTAAAATTTCTAACATTCGTTACCCAATTTGATTTACCGTTGGTGTCAAACAAATACATCATGTTATAACATTTCTTAGAAATCTTAATGCAGGCATATTCAAGAGCTTTACCCAGTATTTGATAACTTTTATCTGTGCTTCTAGATAAAGTGGGAAGCGACCGCATTCACCATAGATCATCACATTTGGGGTATTTAATTTTACTCCTAAGACTTTTTTACATGCGTACAAGTGAACCTTTTCCAATGCTTCCAACCGAGAAAACCCCCAAACCTCTGCCCCATATAGCAAAATTGGTTTAATTTTTGTATCAAATATTTTGAAATATGTTTTGAAATTTACATTGCCCAATTGCTTTAAATTACTGTAAATGCCCATAAAAACCTTCCGTCCCTGTAAACCACACATCACCACAGGTCACCAGACACACCACATATCACCACACATCACCACACATCACCAGACACACCACACACCACACATCACCACACATCAACACACATCACCAGACACACCACAGATCACCACACATCACGAGACACACCACACATCACCAGACACACCACACATCACCACGCATCAGCACGCATCACCAGACACACCACATATCACCAGACACACCAAACATCAACACACATCACCACACATCACCAGACACACCATACATCACCACACATCACCACACATCACCAGACACACCACACATGACCACACATCACCACACATCATCAGGCACACCACACATCACCACACATCATCAGGCACATCACACATCAAAACACATCACCACACATCAAAACAAATCACCACACATCACCAGACACACCACACATCACCAGACACACCACACACGATATACGATAAACCACCCGCTACACAACGAACGGCACAGAAACCACATATACAACACTCACAATACAACACACTCCACACACCAGACACAACAAAACACGGAAAACCACAGTCAATGGTCTCATTACATCAATCTGACGGCTATTTATAAATAACCGAACTGAAATACATCAAACATGTCAGCATACTGCCAGAACGTATGAGACAGACTATAAGAAGTATCGGGACTTGTGAGTAACATGCACACAACATGTGTGATCAGAATGCATGAAATGACATGTAATTATTTTCTTTTACACGATGTGTGTCGTGTGTCTGTACTTGTTCGTGTGTGCTCAATGATGTGCATTCCGAAACATGACTCTTATTAACCTATTCAGACAATGCCTTACTTTTCAGCCGATCCTAATTTTCTCGTGTGAAAATAGACATCACAAACAGCTATGGTTACACTGAATTCCAATTTCTTGTTTCATAAGAAAATGGTATTTACTAATACATTTTAATTTTAAACCCTAATCGTATTTCTATATTTTATGGCGAGGTGTAGGCAGCATGACCTTAAGTAAGAGGTCACAGACTGCCCCTCTTTTGGTGAGGTCGTACAATGATTCACAAATGCATCTGGCTCACTGGTTACACCTGTTATGTGTTTTGTGAGCTTATTCGGTGTAGTTCTGTAACGCACAATGTGATTGATATAATATCAAGTTCGAACCAGACCGCCAAACTTTTCTAGCGGGATAGCCTCGTTTTGAGATTTTCACGATTTACATGTTTCCGTTTGTCAGTACTCACTGTACGACAGAGCACGCTGCACGACGTGTTTGCAAAGATTAGAAGGAGCGTAGTGTTGCAGTATACAAGTGCTTAGATGTATAAAATAATACTGATTAATAATTATGTATCCAGTTGAATGAGATGGTCTCAAAATTCTGGACTGGTTATTATACTAAGTTCCGCAATAGGACGGGACCCAGTCAGCAGGAAACGCGACTGTTGTGTAATCAGTGTTTTGACTTGTGTTGAATGATTCTTATGATATGTGACGTATTATGTGTTCTGTAGCGGGGCGTATACATCGTGAGCTATATGGTTTGTTTGTGAGTGTCGACAACATGAGGTGTGACGATGCATATGATATTTATTGTGTGACTTCCTGTGTTCTGTATCGTCACGTGTATGTCGTCTGGTCTGTGGTTTGCCACGTGATTGTGGGTCACGTTTTTCGTGTCTTCTGTACTGTGTTATTTACAGGAGATATTTATTGTAGTCACGAGTGAAAATGTTGCCCTCACTTTACTTCACGAGCTGAGACATCAGAGAAGGAAAACTAGCAGGTATTATATTCAGGATATACAGTTTATCGTTTCTGGGTCACTGGTGAAGTTGGTAAGGACGTTAGCGAGTCCTTGTCAGACTTCGCTCTGCTGACAGTACAACTGCCACCAGACCTAATGCACCATATTACCCAGTGTAGCAGGTACATTTGATATGGCTGAGATACCCCCTTGTGTTGATAAATCGAAACATAAATAATTTCATTACTATATATCTATAACAAAAAGAGGATTTCTTTCTCAAATACCACTTATTTCTCGGCGACATGTTACTAGCAGTCACTAGTGACAGATGACAGGTTTTCAATTATTTTCACTAGTGACTGATTACACGATTGTATACATATACATAATTTATATATTGTAATACTACGATTTACCGGTGTCAATACATCATGTAATCAGTGACTATTGAGGATAACAGGTAACATGTTATCTGTCACTAGTGACGTTTATATACAAATATTAATGGCGTGATATTACTTATACGTGTGTGTCTTATGATTGGTGGTATAAACACTTTACATATTTCATATACTTGTAGCTGTGGCAAGTGACCCTACAGGAGACTTCCAACAGAATAACATATCCGTCTGTACATCGGACATGACCAGCCTCCATCTGCAGCGGACATGCGCAGACAGACACAACTGGGAATACAGGGAGGTAAGTTGAGTGCCAATGTCGGATAATGACATGCTAGATACGTATCTAATTACATCAAGAACAAGAGCGGCGTTTACATATACTAGTCTTTCGTAAATGTATGTATTGTGCACCGTGGATCATGTAGTCCTACTAACACATATATTTTGTACCTAAATAACATTATATTCAACTTTGTTTCAGGACGGTACAATGTACCATCGATTGCTCCAGCTCTGTCTCCAAGCCAACCCAGATGGCTCAGCTGAAATTACAATCTGCGATTCGTCTTCCTCGCAGCAGTGGAACATGACGCGGACATAGTTGTTCACACTGCCTGGCAGTGGGATCATGATGTTAACATAGGTATTCACACGGCCTCGTAGTCAGACATGACGTGGACTTCCAACTGCCTGGCGGTGGAATCATGATGTTAACATAAGTATTCACACGGCCTCGTAGTCAGACATGACGTGGACTTCCAACTGCCTGGCAGTCGGATCATGGTGTTAACATATGTCTTCACACAGCCTGTCAGCGAGACATGACACGTACATAGTCTTCACATTGTTTGACAGTGGAATCATGATGCGGACATAGGGCTTCACACTGCTTAGCGAACCTACGAGACCGTTACAGTTTCGGCCTGAATGAAACGAGTAAAATCATGTGCATTTGTTTGCATTTCCTTCTTATAAATATATGGCTTTCAAATGAATTATACCCGGTGTGAATTTGTGCAAATGTTTTATTTGATTAATTACAGGTGAATTGTGAGTAGTTGCAATTTTGATGAATTATGCTTGGCTATTTCTTGTATTACGTGTGTTGATTCGTATCATCAGTGGTAATTATCACAATATCTACAGATGTCTAATCAAAGAACGGTCTATCCTCTTTGATCGTTAACCGTGCTTAATAAAAACATACTTCTTAACAAATCATCACATGCTCCACAATCATAAGTTTGGCTTGGTAGCCGATTTTTAGTCTAATAGGTGCACGTAAAATATTTGAAGGCTGCGCGTAAACCGTTTAGATAAGAAGTTGACATACCTGTGAGCACAACTTGTGCTCCTCGCCGTTTGCTCTTGTTTTTTTTATGCATATGACTCTGCATTTCTCTTCGGGTGGTAATCTGGCCCAGAATTGTGACTTATGATGGAATGTCACTGTTCAACAACTCCTGCTAAACGTTGCTTGATCAAGGCAATATCATTCAAGGCCTCAGTGAGGCTTTCAAAAAGGTTTCTGTTAGACGTGTGGAAGACATGTCCAACTATGAGGCGCCATTGACGAAAAGATATCTGAAGCAATTCCCTATTTTGACATGTACAAATGTTCCCAGTGTTTTTAAGGTGATCGACTGATCAACCTTTGCCCGTGTTTGTGAAACCCGATTGGCAGGATACCCTCACCTGGTATCATCACTGGTATCATCACTATTTAAGAGTGTTTCATAAACAAGGGCTCATGATATAGTACTTACAAATGTGGAAATGGATTTGTCTCTTATATATTCTTGAAGTGGTGTCTACCTCGTCATTCCGAGTACGATTACAGGTCCATGCAACCTATACGTCACGGTAGGGTCAACTTATGGGATTCTGATGTCAGACTCGGGTTCACTGCATTACTGATATTATCTATCAACAGTGTTCATAATATCAACCACTGGATGGTGTGAACAGGACAAAATTATATACAAACGCCTATGTATAGCTGGAGCAATGCTGAGTGCCTCGTTAAACGACAGCTTATAAACGGATACTAAATCAATATACTAAAACGTTTAATACCCAGCCGCAATACATTTCCGAAACTTTGATAGTATCAGTGCCACCTGACATTATCACACTAGTCTGTGCATATGGCTGTCCAGACTAGAAGCTACTGCTGGAATATCTCACTTACAAAACGTCATTCGTTAAGAAGACAGGTTTTTCGCAAATGGAAATTGTCCGTGGGGCGTTCTGGTCATCAAAACAGTTAAACATGCCCTCCCCCTACAGACATAATTCTGGAGGTTTCGAGCAGCGGAGAAATACATTTCCCGTCTCTGTAAAAGTACATACAGATCTGACAAGAACACAGTCTTACAGTGTTGGAGGAAGTCTTGGACTTGCTGTTATGTTCTTTCCTGTGGCCAAAAACAGATCATCGTCCCGACCCCTCAGAATGGCGGCAAGTCGACTGAAACCACTAACAGACATCACCAGAGTGTCACATACTGACAATATATACTGGTCCAGGACAACCTTCTCCATCCCCGAACACTGGAATGTTCCAGATGGACGATCTATGTGGACGATCTGCCCTTTCACTTCGAGATAGGAGTCAGGGAATGCCTTCTGAAATTGCACCCTGATCTGCTCAGAGTCTGTTGCAATGAACAACCTATCATATCCCGGATGTACCTTCCCTTCGAAAAAACGGATCAAACTTTCCGGATGAGGCTGAAGAGTCTTTCGACTGTTATCTCTTGGGATTGTCCGGCTTTTACCCATGCGTATATGGGCACAGACAAGCTTTTCGTGATTTGGATCAATCGTTCCAAATATTTCATCGAATGTATTTTGTGTTTTATGCGAAAGTCTGAATAGCTTTTTGAATGCGTATTTATAAATATCAAGGTGACTTAAATTCCGAGCCCAAGACACTTTCTGAAACAACGGGTTTTTCATGAGATAAGGGACGAAATCTATATTTCCAGTGTACATAGTACCCTCCTTCTGGAACATTGCTTCCAGATCTCCTGTAGCCATAGCAACACCCATGCCATTACCGTCAAGATCAACAATCCATTCCTTTTGTAAACGTGACAATGTACGTCTATCAACAGTCCAGTTCACGTCCTTTGGAGTGACGAACTCCGAGATCTCACACGGCTTGTACATACTGATACCAAACTGCCGTCCAAGCATCTGAGCTAACACAAAGGATGTGACAATCCCCTTCTGTCTGTCCGCCAGACCGCCACATCGTCCTGTGTTACACGTGTAGATGATGTATTTATCCTGGATTGTCTCCCCTTGATCTCGTCTGCGCACGTTCCCGCCTCTGAGTCTGGGTGATGATGTGCTGATTGTAACCGTATCCTTCACGTTCAAGATGTTGAAAACATGCATCTCGACTCCCATGACGTGTACAACAGTAATACAGATGGTCGCGCATACCAGGAACATCAACGCGAGACGAACTTTCTGTAGAAAAATAGTAACCTTAGAATAAAAGAGCTATCAATGTAATTATCAGTTAGGATTTTCAAGAAAGAATATTAACTCGATGCCTCTGACGAAGATCATCCCCCATTAAATTATCAGTGCCTAAGTGCCACACAGTATCCTGAATAGTACTCGAGCATACTGTAACGTCATTAGAGAAATGTTGAAGACATACATGTAATTATAACTGCCTGTAGGTAAACATAACAACGTAGCATAAACAGGGCGGTGTTTTGTCGAAGGTCAGATTGGTACAAAAATCTCTTTGAAAAGAAACCAAACGTTGTCATGATCTAAAATGCACATGCATTTGGGACTGAATAGCTTTCACATACAAATTACTCACCCGATGACACATAATGGTATTATGCATGTCGGTAGTGTGGATATCGCATGTCGTTATTGCCTTCCCGGCCTATATGAACTAAACAGCTGTATCCGAAGTATAAACAGGCATTTAATCTGTTACGAAGTCCCTTGTGTGTGCACAGCCAGCAGTCTGGATGTGTTTTAAAGCCACGGACGCTAAACCACTTTTCCGTTTTGAATTAAGCCTCTTTTACAATCTCACCTCACATCAGTTATGAAGTATTTACTTCCTTGATAAATGTTTATCTACATCAGGCTCATAAAACATAAAGGGTTCTGTGTGAGATATGGAAAGGTCACGCAACGACCTGATCATTGAGCTGATAGAAGGAGTTTCAATATGATCCAGGCAGATCTAGTGGTTCATATCATGATCCACCACATCCGCCTCGTGACACGATGACACGCGGTCCTGGGATCTACAGTCTGACAGAAAACCTTTCCTTATGATGTTTGGTCGCTTTACTCAAACACTACAAGTACAATCGTTTTCTAATTTGGCATGATGCATTATAATTGTTCTATCATTCTGAATTTTAAATTTCATGAATTATGATTCCTCTCTCTGCACTCCTTCCTCGTGACAAATAGTGAACTGTGTCAATATTCTAATGACAGTTTGTTAAATAACTTTTTATTATTAAATCATAATTCGTGAAAATAAAAACTCACCGTCACGAATAGTTTTCTGCTAGACTATAGTACACGTAAACTGTGCAACTCTCATCCAAAGGAATATTTCATCAATAGATCATTGTAGATCATTTGGACAATGTTGCCAGTAATACACTCTTAACCAAAAAATCATTAGTTAGGGCTTTTCTCCCACGCTAAGCAGACACTTTAAGCACATGCTGTTGGAAGAGACAATTATTTGCTTCATGCCACTGTAATTGTGTTGATGTAGCAATCACGCGATTCAAAACTCCAAATCACTATCGGCGGTTCCAACACATTCCCAACATCCCATGATGTAGTGTATTAAAATTGTACAGGTGCTGAATGGAAATACCAATCAGGTTCCATATCAGGAAATGCCTCAACACAATCACATATTGCATGTTAGGAGGTTGAAGTGTAGATGCAGATAAGAGACATGGGTATTATGTTTCTTTCTTAAACAGTCCAATTTGGAGATCAAAGCTTATAATAGTGAAGGAGCCATATAGAAACGAGAGAGTCGTGTGAAGAGTATTACTGATTGAATGGGTTAGATGTAGTCTGTCTCACAATCTCTGGGCCATGTTATTTTCTGATAATTTTAATGACTTCGATCAGCAAGTCAACGACTTTCTTCTAAATCACAAATGTGATGATTGCTGTGAAAATATATCGAATACGGACCTATCTTCCGAAATAACAAATCACGAAATCACAAAGGCTGTGGAACAACTCAAGAACAATAAAGCCCCAGGAGAAGATGGGATTGCTGCAGAGTTTCTTTAAAGCGGACATTGTAAATATACTTTCCTATATGAACCTACAATTTAATAACATTTTGAACTGTGGTATTTTCCCAGAAGCATGGAACATCAGAATGATCATACCATTATATAAGTCAGGTGGAAGAGATGATCCCAATAACTAGCGTGGAATATCTTTACTAAACGTTATTGGAAAAGTATTCACTAGTATTATTGAACAACGATTAAGATCTTGGATGGAGCTAAACGAACTTCTTGCAGAATCCCAATCTGGCTTTCGTGAAAAGTATTCGACTATTGACAATATAGTTACTCTTCAAGCACTCTCTACCAAATATTTATCAAGATCGAAGGGTCGTTTCTACTGCACCTTTATAGACTTAAAAAAGCCTTCCATTTTGTTTCCAAGAAAAAACGTTTGTACCTGTTATTGCTAAAAGGGTGCCATGGGAAATTATACAATATCCTCAATAATATGTATGACTCTGTGAAATCATGTGTAAAAATTAATAATGAGAAGACACCATTATTTACAACAAACACAGGCGTTCGACAGGGATGAATTTTGAGTCCCTTGTTATTTATTTTTTCATCAATGAACTTGTGAGAGAAATGTATACTACTTGTAACCATCGTATTTTCGTATCACCATCTATTGAGGATCTGTTACTTCTGTTTGCAGACGATGTTGTGACGTTTTCATATACTATAATATAATAGGTTTACAACGACAACTTGATTCTGTATCAACCTTCTGTAAGAAATGGGGAAGTGAATTTGCAAAACACAAACATAGTTGTGTTTAGAAATGGGGACTTCAAGTGAATTTGCCATAATCTCGAAAAATGAATCCTGGACATTTGAATATAAACCTGTAAAATGTACAACACATTATAATTATCTTGGAGTTTTATTCTCGTCATCACTGAAATGGACCAAGAACTGCCAGAGTCTCTCCGCCCAAGCTGGAAAAGCCGTCATTCCCATCTACAGTCTCTTCAAGCAATACTCATCAATATCATTCGAGTCTGCCTGTCACATATTTGACAGTAAAATATCTAGTCTGTTATTTTCTTGTGGATTCTCACATGTATGGTTTTCCCAGGATGTCGGAAATGAAAATAGTTTTATTTATCAACTGAAACAACGTTTAACTGATATATATGCTCAAACATGGCATGATGAAATCTCAAACTCAACATATCTAGCTCATTTCAAGACTTTGGATACATCCCCTCTACAGCCAGAATTCTATATAAAACATGTTGAAGATAAAAACCTCCGACGAGTACTATGTAAATTTAGAATATCTCTACACGATTTTAAAGTAAATATTGCAAGGAAGAGTAAAAATGTTGAAAATGTTAATATTATTTGTACAAATTGTAATGATTACAGCATCGAGGATGAATTTCATGTCTTGTTCGCTTGTTCAAGCATTCCAGTTTACGAATGAAGTTGTCATGTCCATATCAAGGTAAGAATATGTATACAATGACAAACCTGTTAAATAAAAAAAAAGTAAATACCCTTAAATCCGTTGCAATATTCCTGAAACATTGTTTTCGTTTAAGATCCTTCACGTGATTACATATATATATATATCTATACTTCAGATAACTGTACTCTAGGCCATGTGGTCATTCTACTGAATAAAAATATTGATTGACGAAGAGACAACACTGGGCAGGTAAAGAAACAGTAGCATTGCCCTGCACTACTTGCCGTGATGGCCGACACAGCCAAGGGGTTGACCAGTTAAGCCTATAAATATCACACAGTAATTAATGAAAGTGACAGAGTGGAACAGGCTGGCTGACAAGTCAATGTACAATGCTGGGGGTGATCAGGATTAAGAGTGAGGTTTAGCGTCATATAAATAATTACAATTAAGTCTCATGTCTTGACTACGCATTTTTTGTTCTTTGTTAATGAGTGAGTGAGTTAATATTTAACGTCACATCGGAAATATCTCTTTGTTAATGAAAAGACAATGGCTGTTATATTGCACCGCAGTTGGAAATCTGAAAGTAAACTCACGACAATGAATGACCATAGAATCTGAACCAGTCAAACCAGTGGTTGATATTATGAAGCCCTCACGTCTGTCGTGGGTGATGATGACACATAATCAGTGTTATAACGGTGACCAAAAGATGAGTCGAAAATATATCTTCCTCGAGTGCTGCGATCAGCTTTCTGCATCAGTTCCTCTTTCAGATGACAGTGAACAGATGGCTAATAGTTAAAGCATCTGCAGAAAAACCTCCACTCTGTGTGTACAACACATAAACCGCCTAATCATGACTGCACATAGGCGGAAACAAGGACATTAACAGGGACACCCCCATAGTGAAGATAAACAACTCTCCCTCTCCTGGAATCCTGAATACCATCGTATTAGCCCTGCAAGTCTGGTATGCACACTCTCCACGATATTCATTGAAAGCCACACTTTGCCACTTTGGTAGCCTAATCTTTCAATATATCTCCCGTGATTTCAATTATGTCCTTGTTATTTGTACTGCTTAAAAAATAACCTCATTTCCTATTCATTCCTGTAATTTTAATTATTTTCAGAAGTTTTCTCAAAACGTTTACTAGGTTGTTAGATTTTTATATAGTTAATTAAGTTATTTCAATTATTCATTTTTGAATTTCATCTCCTCTAATTATTGTCTTGTATTTTATTTCTCGTTCCTATAAATTCAATTGTCTGCTTGTCTACATAAAATCTCACTACATAAAAAGACATTTCTTATACATTTTAGTAATTTCGAAATATCTATTCGTTACTAATTAATTCAATAATAATTTTTTTTAAAAACATTGTTGCAAAATTTCGATGTATTTCTCCTTTTCATTATCTTTTCGTATGTTCAATTACTTCGTCATAATTTTTATTTTACATTATGTAAAAACAAATATTGGCCACTTTTAAGATAAACCTGCAATAACGAAAACCATAATCGAAGTAATGAGAAAAATCGTTTCTGCGGGGTTGAGAAAAAGAACTGAAATAACAGGGATATACTCAAAATTACGAAAATATATTAGAAATAAGAAGAATACACTCGACGTTTTCGAAAATGTAACAATTAATTGTTGAAAATGTCGAAGTAAACATATATGATTATGAACGCAAACCTGAGAAGTACGTCAGAATTTATTGAAATTTAAAAAAAAATAGCAGGTGGGACTGGGTTGGGATAAGGCTCATCGTACTGTTTCGACTCTGTTTTCTGCAACAAAAAATATAGCAAGTGTCCTTTGTGTGGAGTTTAGTGGCGAGGTGTTTGTGTGCGGAGGGGGCAAATGTATGGGGCAGTGCTCTTCAGAAGGGCATATCACCTGAGCTTTTCAGCACTTAATTTAGCCTCTTTTCCTCTATCGGGAAAACCCGCACTAGTTAAGCGTCAGCAGAAAACTAGGCCAGCTGTGCAAATCTGTTTTGCTGCTTCACGCCGACGACCCCTGCTATTGGTTACCCTGCACTTCACAACGTCATGGTCGACTCTGCAGTCGTACTGTATGTATGTATGACTAATCTACCGTATCTCCATTGATCGGTCTCGGACTTCGACGTGTCGGAACACGTGGTAGGTCAGACAGTGTTCCACTTCAGTGTGTACATATATTTCTCTGGGCCGTGACGAAGGTCACGAGGGGCCGGTATGGATAAAACTGTCTTCAACTCCTCCACACCACGTGAGATACAGTTAAAAGGTCTGAAGCCATTCGACCAGAGCTCTCACACTGTGCAACATGACCCAATTTTCGTGAGATGTGTTGATCGTTTGTGATATGATAACAGTGATTCTGAGGTGAAATTGTAGGTCGCGAAGCGATGTCATTGACTAATAATAGCAAGCTGCATCCCCCATGTGTTTGAAAACACCACGACACAACGACGTGACAGCGAGCGTGACAGGTGTTTGTACATCGCCAACAGCTCTGTGTCTGGCATTCATAGGACAAGCGTAACAATGGCGTTCAAATATCGACCTGATCAAATCGACTGCGGCTGGGCGTGGGTAATCGTGGCCGCCTCTTTTTTCGCCCACTTCATCTGTTTTGGCATCTCATGGACTACGGGGATATATCACGTGATCTTCCTGGAGGAATTCCAAGCGTCGCAAGCAGTCACAGCATGGGCGTGTTCGCTAATGCCTGCATCGATGTTCGCGGCAGGTGGGTAAAGCGAAGCTAGAGTTATTGCTGTTGTTGATGTTATTAACGTTTTGTAACTGGCATAATTATTATCATCATCTGTATCAATGTCAACATCAGTGTCGCCATCATGAGTCGTAGGTACGACATGCACTGCCAACACGTTTTTCGTTGGCATCGTTCATTTTCTTTTCAACAGATTCTGGTGTCCCCCGGACGTGATGTTGCTGGAATATTGCTAAAAGCGGCGTAAAACCATACTCAGTCAGTCAGTCTTTTCAATAGAATGACCAATATGGTTTTGCATCCCGACAGGTGATCGAATCCTTAAGCCACCCTACGTTTAACATAACCCCCGCCCCAACACACAAGCACCACCCCTACATGAAAGCCAAGCCCATCCCTATATAAGTGCAAAGATATTAGCCGTCTATGTCAACCATGGTTAACCTCACCTCGTAACTTTGAAACGTCTGTGATCTGATTTGTGTCGATCTCGCCAATACAACGATTAAAGGCGAAACACCTTAATATGTTATCTCGCATGTAACCTAGTGTACACACTAACTTACGTAAACAAAGACTACCATTTGTGTGCAGCAATTAAACACGCCAGCAGAGATAATGTGAAGCCAATTATTTTAAAATTACGGAGAGTTTCGTGGATATTCTCCTACTCATCTCAACTTGACAGAAAGTCTGATGTCGAAAATGTTAAAAATTCACCGGATGTCTTTGTGGCCTATATATATATATATATACTGAGTAAGATGTTGGACGGGACTCACTCACTCACTCACATTTCTGGTGAAGTGTGAGGGATGGGTACATTCCTAACATGGTTACTCTATGTGAGGTCAGTCTATGCTAAGCCAGGGTTGCAGTGACAGTAAACATCACGCCAATGAACACAATTAGAATCCGTAGCGCCCGTTTCACAGTTACACCATTTATTCTATTAATACAGACATGCGGCCGCTCCCAGATCGTATCTTAAGATCAACCCAAAACGTTAGTAGCGCTGACATGCTCATAATTCCCATTTTGAACACACACGTACAACAGTCATAACCTAGACTGACGCCCTCGGAATATATATACTGTATATAATTTTGATAGACACAACTACTTCATTTGAACTGAAATGGAGCCCATAGTGACTGAACTTTAGGAAAATTTAGACTTTTATTTTGAGCTTTCGCATTGCAGACAGGGCTGGGTTGGAGGGAACAGAATGTGGGCCAGAGACTGTAAGACAGACTAGTCGTGTGTGTACGACTTCGTTGACGATGTTAGCGTTACGTCTGCCTTGAGCCTGCGCTATTGAACGTGATTATTAACAGTTGTAGCACTGCGATGCCTTTAGACGGGAACGGGCCCATATGTGACATTTAGTCATGGCGGTCTATCATCACAGTACGTAAATGCAGACTTAATTTGATAGTGTAGTCACGTAAATGTACATATATTTCAATGGCATCAGAATGGTGATTATCGGAAAGGGTTGTCAATTACTATATACCGCCGCTTAAGTATCCTAGGCATAAACGCGCCATGCAATGACTTCTAATGATAAGCTCTAGCCTTGCTCCAAGGCTGTACTGAATGCTGAGCCCATGGATGTATAGTAATTCTATCCATTAAAGAGGCAAGTCTAGATAAGCGGACAGTATGTCAGTCTGTGATTTATAACCATTTAAACTATTATGTTTTACCTGAGAGACTTGTGCAAGTCTAATGAAGTACTGGCAAGGCATACTCATCATTCTCACCCAAATACATGTACCTATTAATTGTTTAAATACTGTTCAGTGACAGGATAATCTATGTACTCTGAAACATTTAATACTGTTAATTTAATTTATTTTAATATGTTTTATGTTAATTTGTGGTACAGCGGGCAGGTTTACTCTTAGTAAATGTTGTTGAGATTCATGTGCTGCTTTCAAAAGCTTATCTCGGGTCTGTAAATATTCATATACGTTATTTTGCAAGCAGTGAATACGTCTCCCCGTTTAATATTAGTTACACTGCTTATACTGACTGACTGACTGACTGAGTTTGGTTTTACGCCGCTTTTAGCAATATTCCAGCAACATCACGGCGGGGGACACCAAAAATGGGCTTCACACATTTTACCCATGTGGGGATTCGAACCCGGGTTTTCGGCGTGACGAGCCAACGCTTTAACCACTAGGCTACCCCACCGCCCACACTGCTTATAAGTATAGGGGGCGATAGGGTAGCCTTATGGTTAAAGAGTTTATTCATTTTCACAGAAGACCCGGTTCGATTCTTCAGGTGGGTGTGTTGCACTTCGACACAACAGAAATGTTACCTCACGCTTTCCTCTCGTAGCCTTTCGACATATCAGACCTGTTACTTCAGGCTTTCAACTCCAGTACCTCGCACTGATGTAACTTGAAGCATCAATCACTCACTCACTCACTCACTCACTCACTCACTCAGTGGCAACGGAGTTACCGGGCTTTAGTGATTGTATACTTTCAACCAGGGACTACAGCGTGACGAGCAAACAGTTCAACCAGTAGGCCACCCTCGACCCTTTCGCAAAAAATCCAGAACTACCCTAAATTAACACTGATTTCGGAAGTTATTTTATTGCACCTTTAAAGTTGTGGGATATAGGCTACATTGTTTAAATGGAAACACTGAACCCATTGAACATACCGACTTTGTCTTTAGGACTGTGGAAAGTAGTCTATTCATGCAATGAAGCTACGACTGAGGTGGATCAGAATGGTCATTACTAACGGCCACTGTGACATGTTTCTATAATCAACATCTGAAGCTGCATTGCTGGCAGAATGTTGGATTGGTGCTATCAGTGGTGTGAGTGTCAGGTGACCGCCAGCAGCTGCAGTGATGTAGACCTTTCGTTATCGGTAGGTCATGATAGCCTTTACTTGTTTAATGAGTTGATATAGAATTGTGGTTTACTACAATCGTACGTGTAATCTTTGGTAGGCGTTACGTGATATGACTACCCTGACACCGCCATGATATCATTACAACATCACGCAAACACCATTATACACTGTCACAATACCACGATCATCAGATCACTACACCACCCTGACACCGCCATGATAACATTACAACATCACGCAAACACCATTATACACTGTCACAATACCACGATCATCAGATCACTACACCACCCTGACACCGCCATGATATCATTACAACATCACGCAAACACCATTATACACTGTCGCAATACCACGATCATTAGATCACTACACCACACTGACACCGCCATGATATCATTACAACATCACGCAAACACCATTATACACTGTCACAATACCACGATCATTAGATCACTACACCACCCTGACACCGCCATGATATCATTACAACATCACGCAAACACCATTATACACTGTCACAATACCACGATCATCAGATCACTACACCACCCTGACACCGCCATGATATCATTACAACATCACGCAAACACCATTATACACTGTCGCAATACCACGATCATTAGATCACTACACCACACTGACACCGCCATGATATCATTACAACATCACGTTAACACCATTATACACTGTCACAATACCACGATCATTAGATCACTATACCACACTGACACCGCAATGATATCATTACAACATCACGCAAACACCATTATACACTGTCACAATACCACGATCATCAGATCACTACACCACACAGACACCACCATGATATCATTACAACATCACGCAAACACCATTATACACTGTGACAATACCACGATCATCAGATCACTACACCACACTGACACCGCCATGATATCATTACAACATCACGCAAACACCATTATACACTGTCACAATACCACGATCATCAGATCACTACACCACACTGACACCGCCATGATATCATTACAACATCACGCAAACACCATTATACACTTTCACAATACCACGATCATCAGATCGCTACACCACCCTGACACCGCCATGATATCATTACAACATCACGCAAACACCATTATACGCTGTCACAATACCACGATCATCAGATCGCTACACCACCCTGACATCGCCATGATATCATTACAACATCACGCAAACACCATTATACACTGTCACAATACCACGATCATCAGATCACTACACCACTCTGACAGCATTCCAGCACCACCACTATGATGCAATATCAACATCATTACAACACCATTATAACACTACTATGGCACCATTATAACACCACACTGGCAACATTATAACACCACACTGGCACCATTACAAAAACCACACTGGAGTCATTATATCACCACACTTGCATCATAAAAACACCACACTGGCATCATAAAAACACCACACTGGCATCATTATAACACCACACTGGCATCATTATAACACCACAATGGCACCATTATAACACCACACTGGCATCATTATAACACCACACTGGCACCATTATAACACCACACTGGCACCATTATAACACCACACTGGCATCATTATAACACCACAATGGCACCATTATAACACCACAATGGCACCATTATAACACCACACTGGCATCATTATAACACCACAATGGCATCATTATAACACCACAATGGCATCATTATAACACCACAATGGCACCATTATAACACCACACTGGCATCATTATAACACCACACTGGCACCATTATAACACCACACTGTCATCATAAAAACACCACACTGGCATCATTATAACACCACAATGGCATCATTATAACACCACAATGGCATCATTATAACACCACACTGGCATCATTATAACACCACAATGGCATCATTATAACACCACACTGGCACCATTATAACACCACACTGGCATCATTATAACACCACAATGGCACCATTATAACACCACAATGGCATCATTATAACACCACACTGGCATCATTATAACACCACACTGGCATCATTATAACACAACACACCATTCATTACAACACCACACTGGCATCATTATAACACCACACCACCACTGGCATCATTACAACACCACACTGGCACCATTAT